CTACCCAACCAATCAGCTAACCATCCTACCAGCTATTTAACCAACCAGCTATTCAATCTACCAACTAACCAACATACCAGGTATTCAACCAACCAGCTAGCAAACCAATAGAAGACACAATTCCTCAGTAGTGACACATCTATGATAAATTCAGTCTGTGTGCCAGTGACTGAGTGTCTCACATTTTTGTTACCTCTCATTTCCCGTTTTTGTGACTGCACATGTTTTTCCACATCTATCTTCTGTGTCTGAAGCAGCTCTATCTCCTTTTCAAACTCAGAGATTGTCTGAGTCACAGTGATGGTGAATCAGATGAAGGAAAACAAAAAAACAAACCTGTTATTATTTACATCGACACAGTGTTGCAGTGTTGTGTAGACATGCAAAGCAACCTCACTGTAGTTTGCTTAGTTAATATAATATCACGACATTGCTACCCACATAGCTTGACTTTAAAGCATGTTTAACTGCTTCAAATACTGTTACTTATTCTCAGACTACCTGGTTATAGCAACCAAATTAGCTTCTCCACTATGTAAAGGGAAAAAAAACAAAACGACTTCCTACAAGTTCTGGATGGAATGGGAGAGGAGGAGTTGAAAAAGGTGACATCACAGGACTGAAACTCTCTTTCACTGGGAAACCAAAGCTTGGATGCAAGGATTGCCACTTCCATAATTGTGGGTTTCGACTTCAGCCAGGCTTAGATATGGAAAAGTGGTAGAGAAAGTGTGAGCCGAGCCCATGAGGTCTGAGAGCTAGCTGTGGGGAAGGCGAATGGTCTGTGGGCTAGGAGTCCATACAGGGGCAGCTCTGTTGGTGGGAAAGAGGCTGTACTTGACCTTTCATAGGCCTAATCAAGCTCACCTTGAGGACCGCAGGTTTGTGCTTTTGTAGCTATGGGAGCTAAACAGCTTTTCAGGAAGAGCAGGGTGATAATCAACCACTCCTTGATGGTGTCTCAGTCTCGGAATGTTGCAGAACTAACACTGGGTAAGAAGAGGACTTTCACTGACGTGCTGAGCACTTTCTACACATGACCTGGTCCTCTGAACAGTAGAGTGATCCTTCATAGATTGGGAAGCCGAAGCTACAGAAAGGTTTAACGGGATGTTCAGGGTCACATGCCAAGCTGATGGCAGAACCTAGGACTCTTGGATCCTAAAGTGCTGCTCTTCTTTCTAATGTTTTGGTGAATGCTCCAAGTCACACGAGCGGGCTTCACAAAGTTCTTGGACAAATGGAATGAAAAGATGGTTAAATTTTTTCATGACCTTTCTGAAGCTCCTCTGGGGAGTGGGGTGGCTCCTCCACGTGATAAACAATTACCTTTGCCCGCCAACCACAAGGTCTGTCACAAAGATTTACAGCCTCAGAAGCCCTATTTGTTATTGTGAAGTGCCGTTGAGTCGATTCCGACCCACAGCGACCCTGTATAGGGTTTCCGAGGAGCAGCTGGTGAGCTTGAAACCGCCGATCTTACAGTTCAAATGGCTTTGCAGTCTGGTGCATTAACCCACAGCGCCACACCAGGGCCCCTATACAGGGTCACTGTGAGTCAGAACTGACTTGTCAGCACTCATCAACAACAATAAATGCTTTATAAACTAAGTATAAGGCATAAAACCTGACACTTGTGAGTTTATTTTCCTTGAAAATGAAACCTACTTCTTTAATACATCACATTAGAGCTTGGACCCCGGTTTGAGCTACAAGTGAAGAAGCCAGTGACATCTACTGGTGACTAAATCCAAATGCTGTCACACAATGATGACATGATCCCTACCGACTGGCATCAGTCTTCCGTGGATGCTGAGAATGAAGCTGTCATAGCACTATCTTGGTTAAAAGTGGGCCTTCCCGGTCATCTGGTCCTAAACTAGGTCATTCCCTGATTTCAAACATTAGGAGACTAAGGCCTAGAGACCATGGGCAGCTCTGTTAGGAAACTGAAAGGTAACCTCCGTTATCTCTAAAGCTCCTCTAAACCACGCACAGGTATTACAGAGAATATCTGCACAATCTTAACAATTATTTTACTAATAAGTGTTTCACAGAGTTAGTACATTTTTTTCCCCCAGACTGTATTTAAACAGATTTGTGTTTTCTGGCAAAGAAGGAATTCAAAGACCTTTGTGGATTTTCTGATAACAGTTTTAAGGAATGATTCCGATATTAAGGTAATTTAATGAAACAGGTATTTATAGATGTATCACAAGGGTTCACATCAATTTATAATTTAACTGGGAAGCATTCTCTAGGTCAACATATTTGAATAACTTCAGTGTCTGTTGTTGTTGTTAGGTGCCATCGAGTCGGTACCGACCCATAGCGACCTTATGCCCAGCAGAACAAAACACTGCCCGATCCTGGGCCAACCTCACTATTGTTGCCATGCTTGAGTCCACTGATGCTGCCATTTGGCCAATCCATCTCATTGGGCTCTTCCTCTTTTTTCTCTGGCCCTCCACCTTACCAAACATGATATCCTTCAGTGACTGGTCCCTCCTGACAATAAGTCCGAAGTATGAGAGATGAAGTTTGGCCAACCTGGCCTCCAAGGAGCCCTCTAGCTGCACTTCTTCCAACACACATGTGTTTGTTCTTTCTGCAGCCCCTGGTACTTTGAAAATTCTCCTCCAACACCCTAACTCAAATGCATCAATTCTTCTACGGTTTTCCTTATTCACTGTCCACCTTCAGTGTAGACATCAAAAAACAATGGGCCATTACTGCAGGAAAAGGTCCCCAGAACCGAGCAGTCAAGATGTGTGACGTCACCAAGGACCAGACGAAAGAGTTGAATGAGGCCTTCCAGCTGTTTGACAGAAAAGATGATGGCAAGATCCTGTACAGCCAGTGTGGGGACATGATGAGCGCCCTGGGCCAGAACCCCACCAACGCCAAGGTGCTCAAGGTCCTGGGGAATCCCAAGAGTGACGAGATGAATGTGAAGGTGCTGGATTTTGAGCATTTCCTGCCCATGCTGTAGACTGTGGCCAAGAACAAGGATCAGGGCACCTCTAAGGACTATGTTGAAGGACTTCGGGTGTTTGACAAGGAAGGGAATGGCACTGTCATGGGTGCTAAAATCCAGCATGTCCTTGTCACACTGGGTGAGAAGATGACAGAGGAAGAAGCAGAGATGCTGGTGGCAGGACATGAGGAGAGCAATGATTGTATCAACTACAAAGAGCTTGTCCGGATGGTGCTGAATGGCTGAGGGCAGCCTTTCCTGTGTCCCCAGAGCCCTGTGCCTTTCCTGTGTGAGGCTGTTATCTAGCCCTGAAGGCCTCCTTGGCTGTAATAGCTTGGATAATGTTTGCAAGCAGTAGTCACCAAATAACCTTGCTATTTGTGCTAAAAAGAAAAAAAAAACAACAAAAACAAAAAACGCCCCCAAACAATGGAAAGCTGACTTGCAAAATATGGGCCCTGGTGGTACAGTTGTTAAAGTGCTTCGCTGCTAAATAAAAGGTTGGTGGTTCAAACCTACCAGAGGCTCCACGGGAAAAAGAAGAAATAGTACAGCCTTGGGAACCCTGTGGGGGGAGATCTACTCTGACCAACAGGGTTGCTGTGAGGTGGCATTGATTTCATGTGGTTTGGATTTTCAACGGTTGGCTTCTAGGGGAACATGGAACTGCTTTTGCTCATGCAGGGACATTACAGCTGAGGGATTATTGAAAAGTAAGATGCAGTGTCTACCTTTGTCTGCTTGGTCAGTCGGGCCACCTCCCCCTTCAAGCCACCGGAGGTGACACGCTCTTCCTCCAGCTGAAGTTGGAGTTGCATTTTCTCATCCTTGAGAGCTTGAATTTCTCCTTTCAACGACTGAATCTGCTTCTCATAGTCTTGTGTTTTCAGTTCAAAACTTTTTTCAACAAGTCTAAGTCAGCAAAGGAAGAAATGAATTAATTAGTTGGAACAATGTATCATTTCAAAAATAGTGAGAGGCGACCAGGGAAAGGAGACAACTTAATTAGACCCTAAGTGACAGTTTCAATAGACAAAGGCCTCATTTTCAGGAGACTGCCACCAATTCCTTTAGGTTAAAGACAGCCTTGACACTGCTTGCAATGACTCCCAAGTAGCCCCTGGCCAACGTGAGAAGTCAAGAGCTTCATTTCTCTCCCTGTAGTTAGGAGTTCACTGAAAAACATTTTCAAGGCAAATGAGTTAAATATACCTATTTAAAACTTGTTGAGAACCACAAAACCCTTCATGTTAACTCTTGGAGCTCTTCAGTGTCATCGCCTCACCTAACCTCTCCCCCAGGCCCAGGCCACCCTGCTGACTGCACAGGAAAGGTGACTATCACACCACCTCAGCCAGCACGATGCCTTCTCGAACCCAATAGAGACTTGCCAAGAATGTTCCTTCTCTCACCAGTGCCCTGCCAGGCACCCTTACTTTGAGATGAGTACCAGAATGGGGTCTTGGGAGGCTTTGACACTGAGATAAGGAAAGTGGAGCCTGGTATAGTACAAGGTTCTTGGGACCTGCATTAATTTTTCCAGGTGGGTTATATACAATATTATCTGGGACAGGAGTCAAGTTAACAGGTACAACAGGTGGGGGAAGGGAGGGAAGTTTATTTCCTACCCAGTATTAGTCCTGGTGTGGCACTGTAGGCTAGCACACTGGAATGCAATGTTGGTTTGAACCACAAGGTCGGCGGTTCAAGCTCACCAAGCCACTCCTCGGAAACCCTATGTAGGGTTGCTGTGAGTCGCTACAGCACTTAACAATGTTAATCTGGAAACTGGACTATCTGAAGAATGTGGTATCAGGTCTGGAGGAAGACTCATTAACAATCTGTGATATTCAGATGATACAATCTTACTTGCTGGAAGCAAAGAGGGCTTAAATACTTACTGATGAAGATCAAAAGCCTTATACAGCATTCATATACATTGCACCTCATTGGAAAGAAAACAAAAATCCTCAGAACAAGACCAATAAATAACATCATGATAAATGGAGACACGATTGAAGTTGTCAAAGACTTCATTTTGTTGGGATCCACAATCATGGAAGAAGCAGTCAAGAAATCAAATGATGTATTGCACTAGGCAAGTGTTCACACTCTTTAAAGTATTCAGGAGCAAAGATGTCAGTTTGAGGACTAAGGTGAGCCAGACCCAAGCTGTGGTAGTTTTAATCATCTCATATGCATGTGAAAGTTGGATAATGTGTAAGAAAACTGTGGAAGAATTGATGCACTTGAGTTATGGTGTTGGTGGTGATGCGCTGCCAAGTCGGTTCCAACTCATAGCAACTTTATATAGGGTTTCCAAGGCTGTAAATCTTTATGGGACTAGAAAGATTCATCTTTCTCCCATGAGTGACTGGTAGATTCAAACTGCTCACCTTGTGGTTAGCAGCCCAATACAGTTATAGTATTGAGAAGAATATTAAATGTATTGTAGACTGCTGTAAGAAGAAACAAATAGGTGTTAGAGGAAGTACAGCAAGAATGCTTCTTAGGAGCCAGGATGGCAACACTGTCTCATACTTCAGACATGTTATCAGGAGGGACCAGTCCCTGGTGAAGGACATCACACTTGGTTAAGTGGAGGCTCAGCAAAAACCAGGAAGACCCCCAGCGAGATGGACTGACCCAGTGGCAGCATCGATGTGTTCAAACTTAACAACGATTGTGAGTATGGTGCAGAACTGGGCAGTCTTTCATTTTAACAACAACAATCTTAATTCTAGGATTTGCTTGAGGTGGAAAGGGTGACCACCTGAGAACCTCTCAGCATTCTAGCAACACAGAGAAGTAAGAAATCCCCAGTGTGCACCGTGCCTGGACAGGAGAGGGCATATGGAGACTTCCAGAACCTGGGCAGCGTGCCAGATGTGCACACCAGGGGGCTTAGCTGTCACAAATCTCAAAGCCTCTGACCTCCTACAAACATTCATACCCCACTCTCCCATATCTGTGACCTGTGCAGAGCTAGTTGCTATCTGCAAGCTGAGAAGCAAAATACAAAACAGCAGTGAGAGAAGGAAGTGGTAATGGTAGAGCAGACTAGATTCCATACAGTCTTTGTCGTTCTTCTTTTTGCACGTCGTCAAAGAGCTGCTTGGTGAGGTCATCCATTTTCTCTGTGAAAAGAGAAGGCTCTTTGAATATGCCTGCCAAACCAAGGGCTGGATTGCTTCATGTCATGTTTAAGAAAGTGAGAACATAAGATCAGTCAGGTATCTGTTATAAATGGGACATAAGAAAAGAGTGTTAATGGCCATTCTTTAAAAACCCAAAAATACAGGTAAAGGAGGTTTCAAAAGAATACTTCTGACAAATTTATCAAGTTAAAAATCTCTGACTGGCTTCATTAATAGTACAGTAAAACTTGTGGGATCCAGAACCTGTGTAAGGTGGAAACCTGTCAGAGAAGAAAAACAAATATTTCCCACTAAATTGAGTGATAGGAAAGTGGTAAGGCAGAAAACCTGCAAGACCCAGAAAAACACAAGAGTCCCACTGAGTTCCAGCTCTCACAGGTTGCACTATATTTTTATTGGTCTGAATACCTTTGTTTTATTAAAATATATAGGCTATAAGAGAATAAGAGAGCTCTGGTAGTGTAGTGGTTACGAATCGGGCTGTGAACTGCAAGGTCAGCAGTTCGAAACTACCAGCTGTTCTGCAGGAGAAAGATGAGGCTTTCTGCTCCCATAGAGATTTACAGCCTCGGAAACCCTGTACAGGGTCGTTATGAGTCGGAACCGACTCCACGGCACATAACAACAACAACAACAACATAAGAGAATAAGCATTGTTACTAAAAATAAACTACTTCAGGGGAAACTTGATGGATTTATGGTCAAGTTTCCCAATCCTGGGACTCTGGACATCTTGGCCAAGCTAATTCTTTCTTGGGGGGAGGGAGCTATCCTGTGCATTAAATGCCAGTGGCACCCTCCCCCAGTTGTGACAATCAAAAATGCCTCCAGTAACTATCACCCCTGGGCAAAATCACCGCTGATTGAGAACCAATGATTTATGATAACCAAGAAAATAAGGAAATATCCACCTTCCTCTGGGGAAGAGAGCACAGAAGAAAACAGCTGTTCCATTTAAATACAAGAATCTCAAACACAAACTCAGTAGGATAAGGGGCCAATTGACAAGCTAGCAAACTCTCTCCCTGGTTCAGGATGTTCCAAGGCTATGGGGGTCCCATTTCCCTAATATGTCCACATGCAATAGGCACTCATCAGCGGGGGAGCAAGATGACAGATGGGTCCGTCACAGCGTGACTTCACTATTTGTATTTCACTGACATCTCCGTGACTCTATCTCATCTCTGAGCCCGACGCACAGGGGAGCCCAGGAGGAGGCGAATAGCAATTCTGGACCCATGGTGTTTACCTTCCTCCTCACCGACACACTTTGACCTGCACCCACAGGGCTCTGTGTCCCCCTGGATCCTGAAGTGTCCACTACCTGCTGGGCCTGTGCTGCTGTGAGCATCCCAGTCTTCAACTCTCCTAGCTGGCTGCCCCCACGTAGGAGCCTAAGGAAAAGCCCTCTGGATAAGGTAACAGAGTGTGGTTGTTTAAACTCTGTGACCAGGAATCACCAAGGTACTAACGGTTCCTGTTGCCTCTTTTGGGATTTAGCAAGAGCTATCAGTTCTAATTTGAAAAGCTCTGGCTGGGCTGAGCTGGGCTCTGAGTGGCTGCACTCACACCTAGAGAAAAGTTATTCTCACTGGTGCCAAGGGACTAGTGTCTGACAGCTTGGAGTGAGCTGTCTCAAGTGACAAGCAAACAACAGCAACCAAAAACCAAAACCTACTGTAAGCAAGTGGATTCTGACTCACAGCAAGTCTAAAGGGCTAGAACTGCTCCCCTAGTACGGTTTCCAAGGCTGTGCATTTTGAGAGAAGCAGATTATCTCATCCTTCTCCCGTTGGGTAGCTGGTGAGTTTGAACCATCAATCTCTCAGCTAATAGCTTGATGCTTCAGCCATCAGTGCTCCAAGTGCCACGTCGAGCCCCCTATTTCCTAATGTAAAAATTCTAGGCTTAAGGCCCAATCATGGCCTAGGAGGTTCTGAGGCACAGAGAAGGTTGAGAATTGCTGTGCTGTTCGACAAAATGCAGGAAGTAAAATAGCTGAATCTACAGGGTACAGCTACCACAATTCAAATCATGCTACTGCCTACAGACAAGGAGAATGTGCTTGTCACATGATGTCTACATCAGAGAGAGAGCCCTGATTCACCTTAAAACTCAGTTCACACCCAATACTTACTTATGTGTGAATGGATCCGTGAATGTATGGGTTTACCAGGCCCCCTTGAGCTTTACCTTTCAACTCTTCATTCTTCTCTTGAAGATTGAACTGTAGTTGTTCTTTTTGTATCTCTAGTTCTGAATTATGCTTCTGAAGCTTTGCCAATTTCTAGCAAGGGATAAAAAAAAGAACCTTCTATGAAAACCTAGCTTCAACTTTCGTTATCAACACTGCCTTTTTTTTTTTTTGGGGGGGGGGGGGGGAGGAGTATGTTGGTATTTTTCTCCCCATAGATAACAGCTATCTGTGGCCCATTACAAGATGTTTGGTTTCACACAGAAGGATTTGCTGTGACTTGAAGCCAATTCTAGTTCACAACCTGATCCAGTAATTGGTGGAACAAAGGAGAAAGAACCAAAACTCAACTTCTTCTCCACGTCAATTAGAATTGGCTTCAAGTCACAGCAAATCCTTCTGTGTGAAACTCTTTCTCCCTGTCTTGAGTATCTCAATAGCTAGCGAAATTTATTTGTAATATATTTAGTGTGAGATAAAGACATAATTGATAATGTAAAATGAATTCACATTTTCAGATTGCTATGAGTAAGGGCTCATGATGACCCTAAGTGTGTCAGAGTAGAGCTGTTGTTGTTGTTGTTGTTATTATGTGCCGTGGAGTCAGTTCCGACTCATAGCGACCCTGTACAGGGTTTCCGAGGCTGTAAATCTTTATAGGAGCAGAAAGCCTCACCTTTCTCCAACGGAACAGCTGGTAGTTTTGAACTGCTGACCCTGAGGATAGCAGCCCGATTCGTAAGCTCTACGCTACCAGAGCTTCTTAGTCCATAGGACTGTCAACGGCTGATTTTTCAGAAATAAATCACCAGGACTTCTGACCTGCCTCTGTGTGGACTCCAACCACCAACCCCTCAGTTAGTAACTGAGTGTATTAACTGTTTGAACCACCCAGGGACTCCATGAATCAGAGTTGACTAGATGGCAGCTGGTTACTGGCATGCTTAAGGTATACGGTGGTAATAGAATTTCTCTTATTTTAAGTTCTCGCTGTAAAGTGTCCACTGGTCTGGCAACTGGAGGCCCCTTGGTGTTACTGGTTAATGACTGGCAGGGTCATGGGGAGGGTAGAGGGATGACATTGGGGTTCTACGCAGCTACCAATTCTGGGTGAATGTTTATGATGTTGGCAAGCGTAGGGTAATGCACAGTAATAGAAATGAACTCTTAGAAAACATTCACTCATTCTGTGCAGGACTCTGGTAGGCAGTTGGCTCAATGAGTTCATCTGAAAATTGAACTCTGACAGTTTCTCTTTGTTATCTCTATTTTACTTATGAAGAAACTTGAAGTTCAGATAGAGTAAGTGACTTGCCCAAGTTCACCCAGCGAGGCAGTGACAGAGACAGTATTTGAACCTGGGACATTTATCACCTTGTTCAGTCTACTGCTCTTTTTATTACATCAGCTCTGGGAAAGATGCTTCTAGGGTACTGTCACCAGCTGTTCCGTGGGAGAAAGATGAGGCGTTCTGCTCCCGTAAAGATTTACAGCCTCGGAAACCCTGTATATGAGTTGCTATGAGTCGGAATCAACTCCACGGCACATAACAACAGGGTACTGTCAAGGACTGAACTGTGCCCCCTTCCAAAGTGTGTGTTGTTGTAAATTCTAATCTCTAGGCCTGTGGCTACAATCCCACTTTGGAATGGGTTGTCTTCGATATGTTAATGAGGCAGAATTTACATAGGGTGTATCCTGAACCTATCTCGTCTCAGATATAAAAAAGATCAAATGTTAGCTAGCAAACAGATGGAGGAAAGAGAGATGCCAAGCTGAGGCATCTTATCTTATTGAGATAAGATTGTCTAGGCAAAGAAGCTCAAAAGAGACAAAGACTTTCCTCAGGAGCTGACAGAGAGTGAAAGCCTCCCTCGAGAGCTGGCACCTTGACCTTGGACTTCAGCCTCCTAACCTGGGAGGGAATCCCTTTCTGTCTGTTAAAGCCATCACTCGTATGAGAGGTGCATACAAGGTGGAAAAGTAACATGGGACCAAGGTTAGCCTGGAAGAATGGGGAGCAGCCAGCTAGGGCTCCTTCTCAGGAATCTCATCACTTTGTAAGAGTTCAAAGTTTAAGGCTGGCCTCACCTCCTTCCAGACAGGTTCTCTGATCTCTCTCCTTCTAAAAGGTAGGTTCCCTTTTGCAATGGAAGTCAACACCAAAGCCTGATTTGCTCTGTAGGTAGCCGCTTTACAAGAGAATGTTGCTATGCACATGCCTCCCATGGAAACAGTCACAATGTATTCCCTAGTCCCAAGACCAGCCACTGACCTCTTCCACAGTGTCTTTGTATCTCTTGCCCTTCTCCTCATAGTTTTGTCTGTGAGTGGCTGCTCTTTCTAGTTCCAGCTCCAGTTTCTGAATTTTCTCCACATCACTGGCTCGAAGAGCTGCTAGGCTCGTTAGTTTCTCCACCAATCCGTGGCTCTCTTTGTTCTACCAACGAGAAACATTAGATGGTAAGAGGCTTACCCAAAATAAAGAAGCTGTCCCATCAACTTCTCAGAACTTTTAACACCATCTCTAAATGTATCAGAGGTTTATTTACACTGACCACAGTTTGGCATTGATTAACCTTTCCATTAACTCAAGAGGCGGAGCTTGTCATAGAGCTTCCTATGCTGGAGGCTGTTGTAGCATGGAGTCAGTCTAAACCCTGAGCTCCAGGACAAGCCTAGAATTGAGCTCAGACAGCATCTGCTGCTACTTTGCAGAAGCTACACAACATGAAGGAGTCCTGGTGTGGCGCTATGGGTTAATGCGCCAGACTGCAAATCCATTTGAACTGCAAGGTTGGTGGTTCAAGCTCACCAGCTGCTCCTTGGAAACCCTATATAGGGTCGCTATGGGTCAGAATCGCCTTGATGGCACTCAACAACAACAACATACAACATGAAGGAGTCCTGGTGTGGCATTGTGGGTTAATGCGCCAGACTTCAAAGTCAGCTTGAACTGCAAGGTTGGCAGTTCAAGCTCATCATTTGCTCCTTAGATACCCCATACAGGGTCATCATGGGTCAGAACCAACTCAATGGCATTTAACAACAACAACATACAACATGTAGGCCTGTTACCCCACAGCACAATGAGGAGAACTGAATAAAACCCAAGTTCATTTGTGGCACATGCATTTGTTTTTGTTGTTGTTGTGAAGTGCTGTCGAGTTGGTTCCAACCCATAGCGATCCTGTATAGGGTTTTCAAGGAGTGGCTGATGAGCTTGAACCACTGACCTTGAAGTTCAAACTGACTTTGCAGTCCAGTGCATTAACCCACAGCACCACACAAGGAGGATTAGTAAAAGAGTTGTGCTTATTAAGTGCCACTGAGTTGGTTCAGACTCATAGTGATTCTATATAGGGTTTCTGAGGAGAAGCTGATGAATTTGAACTGCTGACCTTGCTGTTCACACTGATCTTGCAGTCCAGTGCTTATCTTACAGGAGAACACCCTCAATGAGATAGGTGGACACAGTGATTGTGAGCATGGTCCAGGGCCAGGCAGTGTCCTGTTCTGTTGTACACAGGGACACTACAAGTCAGAACCAACTCGACAGCACCTAACAATAGCAATAGCATGGCACAGCTTGAGGTTTAGTGTAGAAATCACAGGTCTCATAACGGACATGTGCGATGTATCCCCAGTCATACACCTCACACATCTGTCAGTGGAGGTGTGAGTGGTGCTAGGAAGCTGCGTAGGTTTCAGAAGAGCTTCCAGACAGGGACAGACTCAAAAGAAAGGTCTGGAGACCCACTTCTGAAAAACTAGCTGACGAAAAACTCTACGGATCATAAAGGTCCAATCTGCAACCACCCATGGGATGGCACAGAACTGGGACCATTTTATTCTGCTCTCTGTGAGTCAGGGACCAACCTGATAGCAGCCAACACCACCATGGCATAGCTTAGAGCTAAGCTGAATGCCAACCTGCAGGGCATCTTGGAGAAAGGCGTGGGAGTGAGTTTTACAGCTTTGGATACTGAATAGGCCCCTCAGGATTTTAACAGCCCATCCCACCCATTGAGAGCATATGGGTTTTTTCCTACCAGTGAGAATTAGTATCAGGAATCTTTCCAAACTAGGCAGAGCTATGGCTAGACCATATGGTCACCTTTGAGCAAGTTAAAACATGTTATCTCTCATACCCATTCCACCCCAGACTGACGCAGTTAGTCCTGAAGGAGCAAGGGTTGGCACACAGGCAAACTTTGCTAAGTGTGAAGACGACACTCCTGCCTCAAAGGAACACAGCTTCACACCAGGACACATGGCTTAGCAAGTGGAGCTCAGGCTGGATTTGCCCTTCTTGGACAGGTACTCTTGGGCAGTGAACAACTTACACAACCGGCCGTGGTAGCCCTTCACAACATGGTGTTTCCTAGCACAGGGGGTCCATGTAAACTGTTTAGACCTCTTAGTATGGGCACAAATTTTAAGAGCATTATCTATGGAACTGGTCTAGAGTAAAATAAACTATGTTAGAAAGAGTATATACAAACGATGCATGATTAACACTGACCTGATCTTCCAGCTTTTTCTGCAAACGCTGGACCCTGTAAGTAAGCTGAATGTTCAACACGAATCGCCGGATATTCTGGAATCTGCGTCTGGCCAGCCAGGCCCGGGCATGTTTCTGGAGGATCACAGCCTTATGTTCCTCCAGCATCTTTAAAATAAGATTTTGTGAATTGAAAACTGGGTCTCCATGGTTACTCTCACCAGTTCCTCCAGTGATGGAAGATGTAACTTTCAAAGTCTTTCCACAGTGCCAAGTGTGGAATCCTTGCCATAGACTCAGGGAGTCCTGTGACACTGAAAGTTTTAAAGCAATAACCAAATCATACCCGTACCAGGCACATAAGGACAGACACTCACACACCAGAACTCCCTGTTCACCAGGGAGCTCTTCGTGCAGATAAATCATCTCACACGAGTTCTAGATAACTTGTGTCCTACACAGAAAGCATGTAGTTTCGGCTGTACCTTTCTATATCTCCTCCTCGCCAGGAATCCCCGGGTGTAGGCCTGGATCGTGATGGTGGCCACACGTATCAGCTGGTACAAACTGCGAACAAGATACCCACGGGAATACTTCTGAATGATGATGGCTGCCCAGGCTTCTTTTAAGGCTGTTGCGGTAATAGCTTTCCTTGGTTTAAAAGAAGGCAGAGTGAGGGTGAGATCCAATGCAAAATTGCAAATGTGGAGAGCCCTTTTTAAACGAAGGAATGTTTGTTTTACCCATCCACATACAAAATTCTGTAAATGGTTTATTCTAATGCTTACTCAAGGCCTTGTCCCAGTGTGGTGCTATAGGATAAACACAGGACTGCTAACCATAAAGTCGGTGGTTCAAACCCACCAGCTGCTCCCTGAAAAATCCTAGTCAGGATCTCTATGAGTTGGAACCGACTCAACAATTCAAGGTTAGTCATCCTTTCTCTGTTTCTCACTTTGAGAAAGAGCCAAGGGGAACCCTGTGGGAACTGTCACATCCTTCCTATTTAATCCAACTGATCCACCATCATCCATATACCCACAGAGATGGTGACAAGAAGCATGTGCATTCATTTATTCATTCGTTTAGGTGAGAAAGCATGCTGAGGGATCTAGGTCGGCAAACTATAGGCTATGGACCCAATCCAGCCTGATGCCTGTTTTTGCTGATACCATTTCATTGGAACCCAGCCATGCATGTTATTGGCATATTGTCCATGGCTACTTTCATGCCACGATAGCAGAGTTGAGTCGTTGCAACAGACACCATATATATGACCCGTGAAGCTTAAATATTTACTGCCATGTCCTTTACAGAGAAGACTTGTCAGTTCCTGTCTTGAGGATCAATGATGAAGACAAAGTTTACAAAGTACAGCATTAGCAGATTTATAAATAATCATCTCGGGCCAAAGGAAAAACAACGACTACGCTGATCTGTGAGCAAGAGCACAAGGAAGAACCTTCGGCTTGGAAGAAGCTTACATGTGAGCTGCCCCTTGATGGGGATGTAGGGTTTCTGTAGACAATGAAGGTTGGAAAAGGCATTTCAAGGTGAGGGGAGAGCAGAGCAATGACACAGAGACCTAGCAGTGTTGGAAATAGGAAAAGGAAAGCTAAAATACAGGACTAGTGCTAGAAAACAGGATATATGGAGAAAACTAGTGGTCAATGAGGTTAGAAATACAGATGGGCACCATTTTTTATTTAAAGAAAAACATTCAAGGGAGAGCATTCAGTGAGAGTTGCTGTGCTAGGCCCTAGGTTTAGAGGCAATGGGAATCAGATACATGTGGTCTCCATGGAGCTTTCATTTACATAACTGCATCTAGGCCTCAAAGTCTTTGGATGTCAAAAACTGAATGCTCTTCTGTAGAACACAGGGAGCCATTAAAGACATTAAGTAGAGCAGGGGCTCAGTCAGGACCCTGATTTAGGAATATGGGAGAGGAAGAGGTTATACGAAGGCTAGATGATGAAGGCCTGAACAAGGGTATGGCCGTGCTCCAATAAGACTTTATCTAGAAGAAAATGAATGGGACAGATGCAAGAGGCAAGAGGAAGCAGACTCACTAGGACTTGGGGATTCCCTAACATAACAGAGGCATGAGTTTGGGGCAGACGATAATGGTAGTTTCCTGCCCCAGACACTGTTCTTGTTAACTGAACCCAGAAGCATCAGAGGGCAAGCAAGCCTGGCTGTGTTGGTGTGTATGAGAGTTGTCTGCTGGAAATGGAATGATAAGTCTAGTGTGAGGTGTGTTGAGTTGAAGACTGTGGTGCTCCAGCCACGTGGAGAAGCCCAGTCACCACTGAAGGCCAGAGGTCAAGCTCAGGGAGAGGCCAGGATGAGAGATGTGGCCTGACTCTTTAACACCTACCATCTTGACCTATCCTCACAGAATCCTGATGATGAAGGCAGGGTAGATATACAGAAACATATGCTTTATTTGGAAAGAATGACTGCTCACTGGCCACCCAGAATGGTCTTTTGGTCGACTCTAGTCTTATGCTCTCCAAAAGGCACATGGAAGCCACAGAAAGCCACCCACTGCATGAGGCTCTTCAGTGGGCTGCAGTGTTGGGTGGACACTCATAACCCTTCAGGGAGGGTGGCTCCGCTCAGGGTGGAATCGGCATTGTAGGTGAAGTACACTCCATGCAGACATGCCTCTGCTGGGGTTGCTCCAATGCAATATGATCTTTCCACCTAGGGTTTCCTGCAATTGTTTGCTGGCAGGGCTTTGTCATTGATCTCCTGTGTATGCAGGCAGACCCATGGGGAAAGGGCCCAGTCTATCTGTTCTCATCAAGGGCTCTAATCCTTTTCAGCAGCACCCTGGACAGAGCTTATCCCCTTTAGGGTCCTTTTCCTTGCCTCTGCACACACAGGCTCACCAGGCAGAACCAGCACTTTCTGTCCCTAAGGAATCCACACCTTCCCACCTCAGGGCTCATGGCCACTGCTGTTGTCACGTGCTGCCAAGTCGCTTCTGACTCATAGTGAGCCTGTATAAGGTTTCCGAGGAGCAGCTGGTAGATTTGGACTGCCAACCTTGTTGTTAGCAGTCCAGTGCTGATCCTACAGTGCCACAGCACCTGTGTGTCTCAGGTCCCAGAGAAAAGGCCCCTTGTCCTCTGAAGATGGTCAGCACAGAAAGTTGTATCATTCCACCCAGCTTCCTCAATTCCAACATACCTCACAGTGTGCTGACCCCGGAAGTACTGCTGGATTATCAGGGCAGCTTGTTTCTCTCGGAGGAACTTTTTCCTCTGGAGCCAGCCACGGATATGCTTTTGGATCACAACACAACCCTGTCTCAGTTTATCTAACCGGAGTTTCTCTAAATAAGCCACTTGTCCTGCTCTGAAGAAAATTTTGGTTTTACCAAACTGGTACTGATTATAATCCTGGAAGAAAAAAAAAAAGAGAGAGAATCAGAAATAAAATCTTTCAGATGTTCTAGGGTATTTGGGAAAGATGCTTAGAGATTCAAAGATGTCAAAGTCTTGCTATTTTGACATATCTGTTCTTTGACATCAAGAAGAAAAATTCTGATCATGATCCAACATTTGATACTCTGACTTGCTTCAAGTCACTCTGGAGGAAGAAATGAGCTTTCAGCTAAACTCTAAGAAAGCATGTACACGTTCTTAGTGACCCAGTTGGGCTGTTGGGAAAACTCCAGCATCTTTTATGTGGTTTCTGAGTAAGAGTACAAGAACCTGGAAAGGCTTGGTTTTCTGTCTTCATTTTGAGTTCTTTTCACCACCCTTTTTTTTTCCTGGCAATGCCCATTCCCCCTGTCTCTTTTCCATTATTTCTTTAGCAAAAATGAAAACCCACACTGAGCGCTATGAATGGAACACACTTGACTTCATAATCATGCAGCGTCCCTGTGGTCCACTTGTCCCTGTTGACCATGTAATGTAAGCCAGGTCCATAGGCGTTCCTGGATCTGGGAGAACAAAGCAGCAGCAGGACACTGGGAGGCCAGGGTCCACATTTGGGTCCTGGAAGAAGATTCCTCCTGCAGGAGATCTTGCCCAGTGACGGTACCTGCTCTATACTCCTTGGTATACTGACACCTGGGAACCCATGTCCTTTCTTTGTAGGTGTTCATGTCAATTACAAGCGGGCTTCAAAAAGTTCATGGGAAAGTTCCATTGTCTTTTAATCCCATTTTCCCCATGAACTTTTTTGAAGGCCCCCTCGTCCATTGCTGACCTTCTAAAGCAATTCCAGACTGACCTGGATGAGCCTGTGTAAGACCACTTTGCACACCTCCTTCTTGTCACTGAAGGAAAGCTCCTGCTTGGTCATGAGGATGCCATAGCGACTATAGAACTCGATGTACGTCCACCTGGAAAACCAAAGACGTGAACCTGGAGGAGTGTGCCGGAGATTTAAGGGAGGTGTGCTAGAGAGGCAGTCCTCAGTGTCAGCCACGCCACGGGCAGTGGTGGTGATGGGCTCTGTTCTGCTGCTGGTGGCCCTGGTCCTTCACCCACACCTTCCTTGTGACACCACCCAAACCACCCCTTACTGGACCTTGTTAATGCTCTGCCCAGAAACTGTCCTCTTCTCCCAGCTCTAGTTCCCAAGTCTAGAGCACTGGCAGTAGGCAGCCACCATCAGCCACTGAGATGGGATGTGGAGGTGAGGCTGATGGTGGCTTGTCTGCACATAGCTAGTTTCCCACCCTTTCCGCCAGACAGTGGGGCAAATCCTGGGGCTCTCTTACAGAAGACAGAAACATGTGACAAAAAGGCATGGCAGTCACACTGTGGCGTTCAGCACAGACCTGAAGTTGGAAATTTTGTCCCTCAAACAAGGACTGGTAAAGTACCTGGAAGGGTAGCTCTGTGCGCTAATGCGAATTGTCTCCAAAACGCCGCAGGCTCGCAGCTGCTGAACAATTCTCTTGGAGTCAAATCTTGAAGAAGACAAATATATTGTGAAGCCATCAAAGTACACAAATATGTCACAACCAGGAGTGGCACATCTGCCTGCATTGTGGGCTCTGAGAGAACAATTGGGTCGGGGGTCTTCTGTGTGGTTCCCTGCCGGAAATCCCTGCTGATGTCAGAGGTGAGCAGCCCCTCTTCTGACACTGCTGAGGAAGCTGTAGTGGGGACATGGGGACCAGAGCAGTTGACTGATGGAGGTGACCCAGAGAAGGTTTGTTGGAGAGGGTGGTGTTTGGGACTGAGCCGCACACAATTACCAGGGTGGAACAAAATGCTCATGCTCCTCTTGCTCAAGCACCCACTTGATACTTGGAGTCCCTTTACAAAACACCCAGAGGCCCTCTACAACTTCCTCTCAGGGTGCCACGCCTCATCCTTGGAGCCCATAAATCAATTCCAGTTCCTCAGATTATGTTTGAGGACATATCTTTGCTTCCTTTATAGCCTTTCATGGACAAGCAAATACAGATTCTTTTTACACTTGAAGACAATGTTTCAATTTTCCTAGTTGCAATAACCTTTAGTGGTAGACTATTTTTTTCCAATCTAGTCCCTTGGCTTGACCCCAGAGGTGAGGTGGCTTAGCCAGAAGGTTGCACTAACATTATATATAAGAGCAGGGTTGTTTAGAATCATTAAGAAAAACAAAAACAAAAACAGAAAGAAAGTGCAAGATAATTGTAAGCAAACCCTATCACATCATAACAGACATTGTTTCCTCTGAGACTTTATTTGCACAGGAATACTTACTCAAAGGGTAATTTCTTATCGTTTGGCTTGATGCACCGGACGTAGTGGGGCGTGGTTGCATTGAGGGTCTCCATGAGTAGGTACAGAGAGCTGCGGAACTAGGGAACAAGGTCAGAGAACCAAGGTTTTGAAATAATATAATGCTTAGATCAAAGTTAACTGCTATGGGTTAAATGTATCCCCCAAAGTCAGTGTTATGTCTAACCCCTGAACCTACAAGTAGAACTTGTTTAGAAAGATGGGATTTTCTTTGGTCATGGTACCAAGGTCCTAGCAGTACAGAGTGGATCCTAAACTTAACCACTTCTGAGTTAGAAAGTGACCAGAACAGACAGGGAAACACACACACACACTGGGGAAGACAGACGCCATGTGAGCATCATCTACAAGCCAAGGAACCATGAAATGCCTGAGCTACTGATAAAGAAGGAATTGTCAAGGCTGATCGAGAGGTGGGCTTTTAGCCTCCAGAACTGTGAGAAAATAGATTTCTGTTCTTTACCGCCACCCACCTTTGGTATTTCTGTTATAGCAACACTAGATAACTAAGACAATAATCAAATATCTAACCTTGGTATACCCCTAGAGAAGAGGAAGAATGAGTTTAATGCACAGAAATCTACTATGAAGGGTTTCAATCCATGTAGTGTAATGTTGTAGACAGAACACGGCTCTGTCTAATGTTCCCCAATAGCAGCAAACAGTAAATCATGGCACTGTGCCCAGGTGTGGTGCACTCAGGTGTGCACTGCCATCGAGGGTGAGGTAGGATGACATCGGACTGTTGCTTTTTTTTGCATTTGTGTGTATTTTAGATTTAAACACAGTGTCCATGTCGAGGCCTGAAATGTGGGTTGTGTAAGTACCTGGCTCCCGGGGTCGAGGCCTGCACCCTTGGCCCCTTGGCCCCACACCCTTCATACCTTGTTCCCAACTGTGGTCCGGAGATGCTTGTTGTTCGCCTTGATGACGTGTTTTGCAGATTTTACTGTGATCGTTGAACCAAATGGAGAAGACGGAACTGGATTTTCTTGAAAAAAGCTGACACAGAGGTGAAACTGGAAGAAACAGAGAGGATCTCAAGGCCCAGAAATGTTTGTCCATAGTTCTTGATGGGTACATGTCAAATAAATAGCCACAACAAGCCCATTTAACTAGCGGAGTAAAGTAATACCCTAAGCTAATCTCTATCACCAATCTCAATACCCACGGGGGGCTCTCCTCACTGGAGGGAACCCATGACTTCTTTCCTAGGAATGTGAACAGAGGAACACTAGATGTTGATGATCTCCTTTAAGATGGAATTCCTGTCCAATGCATCCTCCATGCCCTGTGGAGTCAGAGACTTGGAAATCCCCAGGTCTCTATCAGCAAGAGCGCTTCATGGCGAGACCCAGCTGTGATTTGACACAGTTAGCATTCCTCTTCCAGACTGGACCCCAAAGTAAGATGAAGAATGAGTAAATAATTGATCAATTAAGTCAACTAATTATTATTATTTTAAATAAAAGGAGGGAAAGGTTTGGTTGGGAACTATTATTGAGGCATTTTTCTTACAGGGTGATTTTGCAGCAACTGTACACTCATTTCCTCTTTCAATTCAACTAATTTTGTATACCAGTTGCAAGCCACTTTGACATCAAATTCCCTATCATAAATCTGTTTGAATAACTAACATCATCGTGGTTTATTTACGATCATTAGCGGAAGTGCCCATGCTCACTTGGGAAACTGTCAAACAGCTGAACATCTGCAGCACTGGTTTGTTTTAAAAAAGAGAAGGAACAAATCTAGTAAGCAAATCTTCCCACAAGCCAGGGTGTATCATGTATAAAATTATTATCCTTAAACGCAATAAAGAAATGTTCAAAGGAGAAAAAACATGACATTGCTCTTTTGGTAGCACAACTTACCATAAAGCTGCACTCTGGTCCCTTTGGCCGGCCCTCAGTCTCTGTCTTGCTAACAGTTTGTGTGTATAATGTTATATCTCTCCTCCAGAGGGCGGCAACCCTGTCAGCCTTGTTTACTATTCTATCCCCAGAATCTACGGCAGTGCTGGTCACATTGGAGGTGGCAGATAAATACTTAAGGATGAGTGGATCCGATGTGAACTGGGATGCTTTAAATGGTCAGATTAGCTAACTTTTCCTCTCTGGCATGTGTACTTGTGATTTCTGATGCCTTACGTGCTTTCAGAAAACTAAAATGTGAAAGATTTCTACAAACAGTTCTACAAACAGTTGTTTGAATTTATGAACCACAACTTGCCACTGCTCAGACACCACGTACACACACTATCAAACACATACCACATACACATATGCATCACACCTATGCACACATGCACACAGTTCGTATTTCTCCCTGACACACTTCTAGTACATGTGACAACCACACAATGAACACGCTGTGAATTACCTCTCAGGACTTTACAAACCTTGCTTGCTCTCAGGATTTCAACCAGCATGTCATAGACTGTGTCTCTGTTCTTCTCAAGAAAACCTTCACATTTGTACTCTACCTATGCAGAGAATGGAATGAATGATTCCCGAGGAGCTGGAAGCAGGTGGCATCTAAAGCTCAAGTTTTTTCTTTTTCTTAAACTGGCAATGAATAAGTTAATCAGTCTGTTGAAAGAAGGGCTTTGAACTGGTTCATTCCAATTCTACCTGCTGCTGAGAACCTGCATGTCCACCCCACAGATACTGAATCATTAGAGCTGGAGTAGAAAACTAAATTCTGCAGTATGGGACAGAATCGGAAATGAATTGGGCCAAACTGGCTGAAAGGGCATTCGTTCTATAAGGTGTGATCTGCTTTCAGATTATAAAGAATTCAGAGTAGGTTTCCAACTCTTTCCTTCTGTCCTATGGAGCTTGGGATGCAAGCCTGCAGAAATCTCCAGCCTGTTGCCTGGCCTAGAGATTTTGTACCTGTTATCCCCCACATTCCCATGAGCCAGCGAGCCTTCTGCCTGACCTTGCAGACCTTCCAGCCCTCACACTGTGCCCCTCGTGTGTACACATGCACACACATATTCTCTTCTTCACTAGAGATTCCTGACCTAAGATAACATGCATCCTTCTTCAAAGCTCCATGTCACTGCCACTATGAGCCCTACCACAAAAATCCATGTCCTGCCTGCTCTTCCCAGGACACGCTCTGGTTCTGGGGTACACAGCGTTGGTACCTTGTCAGCAAAGTGCTGGATGATGAAAGACGTGTTGGACATTCTGGGTTTTTCAAATAAGATGTTTTTGTTGACAAAATTATTATACAGCTTTTGAAGCCAGTTTTCATCAGTTCCATGCGGCAACTGGAAAACAAAAGCACACCAAACTGCATGTTAGGAAAGCTAGAGATGAAAGTAACAGAGGTGAGAAAATAGGTTAAATCTAAGAAACCAAGACTACCCAACAACTCTGAGTGAACTGTGGGAGAGCCACAATCCCTTTTTTAAAATAATAATAAATTAAAAAAAACAACAACAACTCTAGACATAAATCTCTCCTTTATCTCAACCATCTTTGGGCTCCTAGTGTGGTGCCATAGGATCAGCCCTGGTCTATGAACCACAAGGTCGTATAATAATTTAAGAATGAAGAGTTTCAGCAAAACTGGCAGTTATTTTGTTTTTATTCTCTAAGTTTTAAAGCTCTGGGAAAAAAAAATCCTAGATTCCATTAATTGGCCATTTCATTGTCAGTTGAAGGAGAAAAGACCAGCATCTAACTAGTCCTCAGTGCTCCTTGTCCCCGACCCTCAGCCACACTGCCAGACCCCACCGCAGGAGAATCATTTTCTTTGGCCTTACTGCCTCCTTTAACTAGCTCCAAGGACTAGGATCTTATCTCCCTGAACTAAGCGAGTTGCAAAACTTGTTCTTGATACTGGTGGCTTTGTAACTATCTATTCTACTCAGCCTAAACTCAGTGGACCTAATACCCCAATTAGCCTGAATGGCTTGGCATCACTTCCTGTGACATTGGCCACCTAAGAATGTCTGTGCAGCCAAATAGTTTTTAGAGGTTACTCTGTCACCTGTAGAACGTTCCAGAACACTTAGTCTTGATGCCCGCCCTTTGATCTTACACCACTTTGGAGGCTGAAGCACAGGGGCCCCCAGAAAGGCCAAATCATGAGAAGAATCACGGATATATATAAAAATGCTACAAGGAAAAGCCCAGCAACTCAACACTACAATCACGTATGAGAAATCTTTGGGAAAGATACAAAATCCACCTTGGAGCCTTAAAATATAACCTCTAAACAACAACAATGAAAATTAATAACCTCCTAGAGATCATTTTTCTCCCATGTCCCCAAGAGGGGTATTGCTTGGCTGACCACGACAAAGTTGCTCTTCCTGGAATGAAATAAGAAGCAACTTGTAGAGACTTCTTTCTTTCAAATCATATGATGTTGAGTTTTCAGCAATACCTTCTGATGACTCTTAAGAATCAGGGAATAAAAGAAACCTCAATTCTAGGAGCCACTTGCTGACTCAGTGCTCACTCAACATAGCCCTAGGGATGGCCCCAAAGCAGGGGTGTTCCCTAAGAGGCCATGCACATGATCCAGAGGGTGGTCTACACATGCTGAGGGTGAGGTTCTCCTCCATCTCTGGGGCTCCGGCTGCGGATCACTATCCCAGCATTAGTACACAACCCATTGAGTAACAAATCAGGGCATGACGTCTATCAAAAAACAAAATATCTACATGGCAGTATATTCATCTGGCACTATTCAGAAGCTGAAGACAAGAGCAACTGTTTTGAAAACGTACCAAGCATTCTTCATCCAGTAAATCCAAAATGCCCATTTTTGCTTCAATCAAGTCAATAACTGGCTGGTTGTCATAAAAATCTATCAGAGTCCAAGGGATATCTTCCTTCATATATTCTTCTTGTTCAAGTTTAAAGACATGCTGGGAGCCCACAAGTTAATATGCAAAGTAAAATAAAAGAGTATTTAGAAATGTGTTTCTAAAGAGGGGGACGTAAGTATTTGGAAAAAAACAGGTAAATGACTGATTTGTAATGTTTATGTTTCAACTTGAAGGCCTTGAAGTACAGGTAACACCCCTGTGCCCATGAAAAACGCCGCAGTTCTGTGAGAGGGTGTAGCATATGACTGTTCCCAGAATGTAAGGCCTGGAGTGTCCTGCAGGCCCTTGCCTGTGTGAGGCTTCTGGGATTACAGCACTCTCGCTGTCCAAGAATGAACCGAGCCTTGCTGGCTGGGAGCCAGCACATTTGAATGCTGGCTGTGGCTTCTAGTGTGAGAAGCTAACAACTTGGCAATCTGCTCATCACTTGTTCGGGCTGTAAGGGTATCAGGGAGGCGTCCCAGAGGCCTTGGCGCAGGCTCATCCTAGAGGGTGAATGAGTTTGCCTGGCAGGTGGGAGGGGCAAAGTGAGGAGAAAAGCAGCCCAGTGTGAACTGTGTGGAAGCTGAATCCATGAGTTCAACAAGCGGTTGATAGCTGAGGGCGTGTGCAGGTTGAGAGTACACTCGTGAATGTTGATGAGACTGTGAAGGTTATATCACACAAGACCACCACAAATCCCCTGGATAATCTGGGCGCTGTGACCTTTTCTGAGGGGCAATGAAGACCTACTGAAGGCAGCAAGCCTGGAGGCAGAGACACCAGTCAGTGCCAGGTGCTGTGACCTAGGCAAGCAAGCAGAGGTTTCCTAATCCAGAAGAAGATGCAGAATCTCAAAGGATACAATGGGGTTAGCCAAGTGCAGATGAAGGGATGAAAGAAGGACAGGTGTGTTAGGGCAAAAAGAAAAACAGGTGCAAATATACAGAAGTTTGCAGGAATGAAAGCCTTTAGGCAACTAACTCCTTTGTTGGGGCTGCACAGTGAATCTGTATCCAGGATTGGCAGGTGTAGAATGGAGGTGGAAGCGCTGGCTCACAAAAGGAACAATGGGAGAATGGGAAGGTGCCATTGCCAAGCCATGGCCACAAGGTGGTGCAGTGACTCAGTATGTGAGTCCCTCAGAAATAGGGGTGTGAAGAAGTCTGATGGGCCTCATTTCCCCCACACCAGCTGAGAAGAACTTTCAAGAAGGCAGAAAAGTCACCTACCAGGTTAAACTGTTGTTGCAATTTTTCATTAGCATAATTGATACAAAACTGTTCAAAGCTGTTCACATCAAAGGTTTCAAAACTGAAATACAGTTTAAACAAGTTAAAATAGAACTTGAAGGGCTTATGCATTTGTTTACAAGCAAATATATTTTAGATAAACTTCATAGGTTAATAGTTGCGACATTTTCTGCAGGTTTCAGATATAACTCAAAGCTTCTAGTCTTAACATAGGCAGGCAGTTGTTCAATTATGTTTTTCCAGGAGCCAAGAAGGCATCAGGCCTGTACAAAACAGCTACCATGAGCCAGGCATTATAATAGGCACATCCCGATGTGGTGTTTCATTGAATCCATACAACGATACTACTGCCAGCATTTTTATCTTCACTGGACAGATGGGAAGCCAAGGCTCAAAGAGGGTAAGGAACTTATTTAAGGTTACACAGCTAGTGCCAGCATGTAACCTTAAATAAGTTCCTTACCCTCATTGAGCAGGGAGTCCTGGTGTGGCGCTGTAGGTTAATGCGCCGGACTGCAAATCACTTGAACTGCAAGGTTGGCAGTTCAAGCTCACCAACAGCTCCTTGGAAACCCTATATAGGGACACTATGTGTGGGAATTGACTCAAAGGCATTTAACAACAACGACAAGCTAGTGCCAGACTTAGCTATGAGTCTGCCTATACTTTAACTGAAAAAAGAAGGGCCGTTTTATGCCACCTCCAGCCCCTTCTTGCTCCCTGAGATAAGAGGTGGCAGTTTTACCTCCCCAGGGAGTGCTTCCACAGTATCTGAAGGAGAAGGGTAAGGACACTCATGCCCAGTAGATCCTGTCTCGTACAAGACAGATACAACCCTCTCTGTTCCCAGACTCCCAACTGTCTGTCTCTAGTGGCCCTGGAGCTGCAAACTCAAGAGCCCAAGGAGCCTGGTAAGTGATAGTGATGCGTAGCTAGCTAGACGTAATACAACAGCACATGGTGTGAGGCCGGTCCCAAGTCCTACTGTCCAAAAGGGTAGCTGCTGCTCAGCTCCTGCCTGCTTTGATCATAGGTTAATGCCAGCCAGGAAGTGGGAGCACCCAACTCTCAAGAGAAGTCAGGGACTTGGACTTCAGCATGAACTCTCCCACTCAGTCAAACGCAATAGACTAAAACAAAGCCCAAGTGCCACATGGTCCGACGAGCAGGCCTGCTGGAAGAATCCTGGCAGATCTCAGCTGCTGAGCTACATTAGCATTTGTGCCCATCACTTTACTTCTGCAGAGGATTACTGCGACCCCACTGTTACAGATGAGGGTCCAGAAGAAAGTGACCATCTAAGGACCAACAGCTAGAAAATGGTACAGGAAATGGAACCTGACCACAGCTCTTCATGCTTCCTTTCAAAGCCTTTGTTTCTCTTTACTCTCATCTGTAGAGCTTTCTGCCATTCTGCCAGTTCCCATACGTTCCTGAGTCTCAGCTCACTGGACTGAGTCTCTTTGGCTCAGTTTAGGACTCTGGGGCAGGGAAGGGACCTAGCCCATCCTCTAGACAAGTCCAGGGTGGCTGGAACTCGAGTGGCCCCCCACACATCACAGCTGGCCGCACTCCACATGTGACCTCAGAGATCCAGAGGCCAGTCTGGTCATCCAGGTCATCAGCACCTCACAGTGCTCCAAGACCACAGCGGGGTCCAAGGGCTGGGCTTTTTGGAGCAGGAGCTAAACTCCTGCCCTGAGAGAATCTTTAAAACGTAAACCAAAATGATTTCCTGATATCATCTGAAAAGCAAACTAGTTAAATGCAAAATTGGGACTACGGTCTCCTCCACAGTTCTAGAGGCCTCTGCTGTGTCTTTGTGAGAGACTGAGGGAACAGTTTTTCTGTTAGGTCATTTTGAAGGGATATGCTAGAAACCTGGCAACATGCGCTCCATCCAGATGGAGATTAAGCTTTAGATCATAGAGTACCATTTTGTGTGACCTAAAACACTTTGAAAAAATTCCCCTTAAATTAACTTTGTTGTTGTTAATATACACAGCAAACCATAAACCAAGTCAACAGTTCCTAAAATTTAGGGACACTGATTATATTCTTTGAGTTGCACAATCCCCCTCACGCTGCTCCTTTTCTGAGTTGTTCCTCCCCTCCCCTATTAACATAAACACACCATCCTAAAGAGTCAGCCTCCTAGCTCAGTTTTTGAGTTGTTGTTGTCAATTTGATCCAATAGAATTCTTAAAATCGCACAATGCACAAGGCAGATATTCCTCATTAGTTAAACTAAACACTTGTTCTGTTTTACGATGACTTCAGGGGATATTTTTGATTTAAGGTTTAAAGGTGATCTCAGGGCGATATGTATGATCCAACTGACAACAGCTACTCAAAAAATCAGATAGGAGCCTTAGGAGGCAGGGAGTTTATGTTAATGAGGGACGAATAATTCTGAAAAGGAGGGTGAGAAGGCTGCACAACTTAAAGCATGTGATCAGTGTCACTGAATTGTTTATGTGGAAACTGTTGACTTGGTGTTTTGCTGTGTATATTCTCAGCAACAACAAAATAAATACAACTTAAAGAAAAATTTTAAAAAGACCCCAGGCACTAAACAATGAACTCTGTGTTACCAGGCCGATTAAGTGGGGTACCCCATGACACCCTGCTCCCTAAACCTCCATGCCAAGGAACCAAATCCCACGAAGTGTTCAGTTATATATAAACAGGCTCAGCAGCTACAAAGAGCTATTATTTTAAAGCCACTTTGCAAACACAAAACAAGACTAGAGAATATCATCACGTGTTCCCACCACAGTGAAAAAGACAATTGCTAACCAAGACTATTACTTACTTGAACTGTTAGTTTACTTGAACTAATTTTATTGGCTGGTCACATCCTTTTTTTTTTTTAAAATAAATAATTTACTAGATGTTGTTGTTGTTGTTAAGTGCTGTTGAGTCGGTTCCGACCCATAGCAACCCTGTACAGGGTTTCCAAGGGTGTAAATCTTTACGGGAGTAGAAAGCCTTATCTTTCTCCTGTGGAGTGGCTGGTAGTTTCGAACTGCTGACCTTAAGGTTCGCAGCCCGATTCGTAACCACTACGCTACTAGAATTTTATAACTGTTGACAATACTGTTAATTGGGAGTCCTATGTATTAACTTAGGAGCTAAACTAAGATAAGTAATTCTCTAAAGCAGGGCACTGTCTTCAACAGCTTTGGGAACTGCGGATTCTTTTCATCTAAGTGACATGTAACTGAATCCCTAGGGACCTGCCCAGCCTCCCATCTTTCCCCAGCAGGTGGCAGCAGGGGTTTTCCTCTTTGTACTGGGAGAGCTGAGCAGCTTTTCTCTGATCCCAGTGGAGTCGTCTTGGTGCCTTTTATGGGACAGTCTTCCGGGTCTCTCACTGAGAAACAGGATTGGTTCTGGGAAAGGGCTGGTTGCTAACAAACAAAAGTGTCGGTGGTGGCGATTCTCTGAAATCCTGTCCACGCTGACCTGTCTCCACTCACTCTGGCCATTCTTGAGGCATCTTTGGCAACCGTAAACTGGGATCTGAACTTAAAATAGGAGGACTAGGCAACAAGAGGGAAGAAGAATGAAACTCCAACATGGGAGCTTCGTTCTACTGTGAGAACTGGTTGGTCTGGGCCAAGGTCTGGGACAGATACATGACGCTTATTATCCAAGAATGGGGACAGGTTTAGGAGTCAGAAGGTGGATAAAAGACCTGGCTTTGAGCTCTTCCTCTGACTGTGTGAGCTGGGGTGAGAAGCTCCACAGCTGTGACTGTAGGGTTGCCCCATGACATGGGAAAGGTATGTCCCTGACGCCCGAGGCTCTGAACCCTCGTCAGCTTTGTGGTCCAACAGACACGAGAGAACATTGGCAGGGTGAGCCGCATTACACAGCAGAGCAATGCTGGACAGGTTTCTATATCTGGCTGCTCCATCCTCAAAGTGACGATAATTATAAGGACTAAGTATGAAAGTGCCTGGAAACCATGCAACGTGGCATCTGGCAGATAACTCTTGATGCTGTTTTTATTATTTTATTTAGATTTTTGAGAGTAAGTCAAAAAGTGGTATTAGTAAGAGTCTCAGTTCATCCATGTAGGGCTTACTCCAGACAAAATGTATTTAAACATGTCTCCACAATCAGTGGATGGCTGTAGGCAAGTTCTTCTCATTATACACTTGTCTTGTGAGGGTGGCGTCAAAAAAGGTCCAGCCCAAACTGGAGCTTCCGAGGGGGTCTGGCTGGACCAGTCAGTTTAAGACAGGGAGGTCAGCTCAGAAAGATAGGGTGATTGTTTTCAGGAAGGAGTCATCTTGATTTTCTTAAAGGACACAAGACAATCACAGAACTTTTAGGAAAATTGAAAACTGTAGGTGAGAAAAAGGCCAGGCCAGTTGAACTGAGGAATTTTATTCCATTATAACAATGTACCTGGTCATTTTTCAAGGGTAGCAAGGGCTGGCCTGTGAGAATTTCACTGGGAAACCTCAGCCCATCTACCTATAGCCCTGATCTTGCCCCTTCACTTCATTTGGTTTCTAAAACCTAAAGAACGTTGGAAAGGAAAATGATTTATGGTCCCTAAGGATGCCAATACTGCTGTGTCGATAAGGTATAAATTAACGGGCACAGAATTCTTCAGGGAAAGGTTGAACCCCCAAAATCTCAAATCACTGTCATTGAATTGATTCTAAATCATAACATAACTGTCTAAGGTTTCTGAGACTGTCAATCTTTAGGGGAGCAGACAGCCTCATCTCTCATCCATGGAGCTGCTGTTGAGTCTCAACTGTAGACCTGTGGTTAGCAATCCAGTGCTTATCCTAATCCTACAGTGCCATCAGGTCTCCCTGGGGAAAGGTCACCACCTCCTGAAGTCTATAGACCTAGATGGAGGATCTGTTGAGAAACAACAGCTTCACAGTGTGACAGTTTTAATGAAGGGAATGTGACTTTGTAGTAATACTTCTTTTTATTTACAGCGCATTAAATACCAATGCGTCAAACTGCAAAGTCGTTTGAGCTGCGAAGTCAGTGGTTCAAGCTCACCAGCTACTCCTTAGAAACCCCATACAGGGTCGCTATGGGTCAGAATCGACTCAATGGCACTTACCAACAACAGCAAACCCCTTGGGTTGGTTGATGATGCATGGAGGGGATTGTAACCATGGCAATGAAACGATATATGATAGGATGAATGTAAAGCTAATGTTCTCCCATGTAAACTCACATAATTCACAATAAAAACTTAAAAAAAAAAATACCCTTGTACCCACCAGCTGCTCCTCAGAAATCCTATATCTACAGTGTCTCTGAGTCAGAACTGACTTGACTGCACTTACCAACAAACAACAACATGTAAATACAACACACTATAATACTGTATTTAACACCCACACATGCAAACAGAGAAACACAATCTCTCTCATCATGCAAAACAGAACCCAGAATGAAATGATCCGAAACAGTAATTCAATTATTTAAATAAAGAAAGACGGGCTCACTGAAGAGTATCTTACCCATAAATGTCCAAAACACCAATAAAAGTGTGCCGCTTGCCTGAAAACTGCAACACTTGGTTAATTTTCTCCACAATGAAGTTGAACAAGTGGGCGTAGAGCTTTTTGGCCAGCGCGTCCCTGGCGTTGGCAGCCTGGGACCTGGTCATAGGTTTCACCACCGTCTCTGAGCTTGTGATGATCTTGCGATTGCACAACCATTGAGACAATTTTCCAGTCTCCAGGCCCAAGAGCTCACAGAACACCTTCAGGTGAGTGTCCTCCTCCTTCAAACACAAGCACAAGTTCTGTTAGGGCTGCCCGAGCAGCTAGTTCAAGCCTGCCCCACCTGGGGATGAGGCGGCCTCACAAGACAGTCCGCCTGGGGGCTAAGAAAGAGAGGCTGCAGGGACATTTCTGCTGCCCCTGGTCCACGCAGGGCATGGCTGCACTGAGAACAAGGTGGCTCGTTACATCTTACAGGGATTTTCCTTCTGGCCAAAGCGCATCAGTGTGACCAAGGCCACCAAAGCATGCCCCCCTGCTCCTGTGCATGTGGACGCAGCTTCACTCCCTATCTTTTCCTTGTGTAACTTGCCCAGGCCACCTGTTAGAATGTGTGCTCACTCCATCCCACCTCATGTGGTCAGGGGTCTGTTTGGGTTGTTTGGACTAGGAAGCATTTGGGTGTCAATGTCAGACACCCAATGTGGGGGTTCCCTGGCTGAGTGAACTTCTGAGTCAACAAGAAGTGCCCCCTGTGGTGGGGGACTTTTCCTGGACATGTGGTGGTTCTTGTTTCTCTCTTGAACCTGACCATGAGAGCTGTCCCCACTGGTGAGCAGATGAGGAGGAGGACGCACTGCCGACTGCTTACAGACAGTGTGGACAAGGAGTTCTTGCCTCTTGCCAGAAAAGATGTGTGGCCAGGGGTCGGTCAGCCTTCCTCTCAGGGTAGTCTCACCTGTAGACATTACCACAGCCAACTGGGCAAACCATGGGATTGGATTTTAACAGTGTCAGAAGATGGTGATGGGGGAGGCGGGGAGCAATTGAAAATCTTACTTCTTCCCATCCTCCATCCACAGCTTCTGACCAACACCACAATGGATGATGTTTGTTTTTTATTCATTTGACTTCCTCATTGAAGAGGAGACTGGTGGAACCACTGATGTTCTTCCAAGAAGAAACGAAATGTTCTGAGTTAAAAAATAGACACGTAAAGAGCTACGTGCACTGCCACAGAGAAGACCAAGTGGCCGCAGTGTCTAAGAAGTACAATGGGGCAAGTTCCAGATACAAATGAACGGGGTGTGTATGTCCCAAAGCTAGGACCAATAATTACAGGGCTGGCGGCCCTGATGTGGCACTGTGGGTTAATGCGCTGGACTGCAAAGTCGTATGAACCATAAGGTCAGTGGTTCAAGCTTACCAGCTGCTCCTTGGAAACCCTATACAGGGTCGCTGTGGGTCGGAACTGACTTGATGGCACTTAACAACAACACGTTCCTACAGAGATGCTCAGAATTGCTTCTAAGGGATATTTTAGCCTATTAATTTTAATTCCGTCTCTAAAGCACTACCTTTGTAACCAACTTCATGGCCAGGGTTCCTCCCTGTGATGGCTTTGGTCATCTCTGAGAGTTAGAGAAGAGAGAGGGCAGAAGTCCAGCCTCCCTGAAGTAAACCAGGAAGCAGACAGAGGGAGGAAATGCCACTCCAGGCACAGCTCCATCTTCCCACAGGCCCGCCCTCAGCTCCTCTCTCCAAATGTGTAAGTCCTTACGTGAACTGACAGACTTGGACATTAAGCAGAGGATGGGAGAGGTGCTCAATGTAAGGGTGCAGGGAGAGGAAAGAGAATTACTGCCTGGTCATAATACAACAGGAGTGAAGCACTGAGCCAAAATACAGAGTTCACTGCTCCACACTCTCTCTCCCCAAACTGCACATACCAGAGAGCTGAGAAGTTACCAGCTGTACAGAGTAGGTGTTCAATAAATATTTGTTGAATAAAAGAAAAACAGATTTCCCCCCATCCTCACCCCCCTACCACTGTAAGGGGAAGCAGTTTCACTCTTTCTGAAGGCAACCCATGGAAACGCTTGTTCTCCTTTCCTGTTAAACTGGTCTCCTCAGTGGGTCCAATGGTGCCTGGTGTGAAAATGTAAAGGCAGGCTGACCAGGAGACAGTCCTACCAGGACAGGAGGAGGTGTGAGGACAAACAGCATCTTACACTGACTGAGGACCTTTCGTGGCCCACCGCTGTGATCTGCACATTGCCCAGGTGTAGGATAGCTGCCAGGATCTTAAAAATATCCATCTGAAAATCTTCTTTGAAACCTGAACACAAAAATATCCCCCAGTTAGGAATTTTGTATTTCTTCTCTTATTCTTATTCACAAGACGAGCACCTAGATGGTTTTAAGACACTCCAGTGCCCAAAGTACAAAGGACTGGACTAGAGAGTGGAAATGGACCCACGGAGAATCCGGCTTGGAATTCCCTCTAGTTCAACTTTCATAGATTCACAGACAAAACATGAACATCCCACTAAGTTGTCCCTTTTGCTGTGGCTGCTAGGAAGGTCGACACAAAAATTCAAATCCGAGGAAACATTTCACGTCAACTTCCTGGAGAATCCGCACTCATTTATTCTATGTGTGTTTATTTTTAATGTTTTTCTGTTATTCTCACACAAGCTCCCTGAATTCCCTTGAAGGCGAGGTGGTGAATGGATCCCAGTCACCCCTGCAGACTCTGTACTCTACCCGATGAGGCTGTCCTGAGTGGACCAAGTCAGCAGGCTCTCCTGTTGAGTGGGAGCCTCAGCAGGAGATGAGAGGAGGAAGAGAGAGAAGTTTGGGTTTATCTGTCCCTGGTCCCCTTCCCTGCTAAGCTGTCTTGGCCTAGCTTTGTTGGCTGACTGTCAGAGACTACTGCATCTGATCCGCTGGCTAACTTGACCCAGCTCTCACCAGGCCTGACAGAAACGAGCAGTGGAGAGATCTGCAGCTGCTACCCGAGTCCCGCACCAGCCCAGACCGCTTGCTTCCCTGTAACACCCCAACCAAATCTTTATAGCTGGTCCCTTTGTATATACACCCTCCTCCTTTTATTCTAATTTGAGTGTGCCACATGTTCCCTTTTGGGATGATGACTGATATAAGTAGGATAGAAATGATGAATAAATAAAATATTCTGTCATCATGTGAGGATTAACACATGTCAAGGAACCGAAAATAAACCTAGCCAGCTGCTAAGAAGGATCGCGTGTAAAACCCTGCCTGCCAGTGTGAGCAGGACTCTGCCCTGGTGTGTCGTCAATAACACTGTCGTGAGACAAAGAACAGAAAAACACATCTGGGTGGATGAGTGGGTGGGTAGGCATGCAGGGTCATTTACATTGACCCTGTGGGCTATACCACTCTGCTGAGATGGCCCACATTGGAGACTGGTGACCACCACCATCCCTCGCAAGCAACAGAGCTTTGCTGTTGTTAGTTTCCATCAAGTAGATTTCGACACAAGGAGAAGCCATGCGTGCAGATTAGAACTGCTCCACAGGGTTTTCATGGATATGACCTTTCAAACACAGATTAGTTGGCCCGTCTTCCATGGTGCCTCTCTGTGGGTTTGAGCCACTAACCTTTCAGCTAGTACTCCAGTGCTTAACTGTCTGCAGCACAACAGGCCCTCCATGATGCTAATAAGAGCTGATGTTACCACCCATTGCTTTTCACTTGAGGAAACTGGAAATACTTCCATAGCAGCTGTATCATGTTAAATAATTTCAAAACCTAGACAGCCTTCGCCATTTCAAAAACTACATAAAAGTCTCAAAAGATTTCAGTCCAAACAAAATAAATGGATGACTAGCTCAAATGGAGTCCTGACATTTGTGTTTCAATTTGGAGTCCACACTTGCACTTGAAAGATGGTGCCTTTAATATGACAAAAAGATACAGGTGTGAAAGATGGCAGCTAGGTGATGAGCAAAATCAACTAAAAATGCAAAGTTTGGAAATGCCCCTTCTGGATCTCCCACCAAATCTCTGTATGACTCAGAATGATTCTGTGTGATCCATAACTATTTCATGCCTTTCAGGGCTGACAAAAAGAAAAAACAAAAACAAAACTCCAGCTCTACAGCAAGAATGTGAAAGACAGGTTTTCTGTCTTCAGTTCAGTAACTATCTCCCATGAAACAAAGTCATGCAAAAGCAAGCTGGCCTAACTGAGATGTGAATGAGAAGCACCTGACTGCTTCCAGTGTGCTCTTCCATCAGACATCAGGGATCGTGACCACAGCTAAATGGCAAGGATCAGTGAATTGGGTGAGTTACACAAGGACGCCCAGACTAACAGAAAATGGGAAAGTGGATGATAATTTTTATAAATGCTACAACCTTGCAGAGCATGAGCTCTTTGTGGGAAAAGTTAGGTGTGGACTACTGGGATATTTGTCCCTCCATCACTGGGGTCAGCTTCCGAGCGACAGAGTACTGGGTCTTCCTATAAAATCCAGGGGTTTTAAGACCTCTGAGTGCAATTCCGGTTCTGCCCCGTGTTGACCACGTGACCTTCGGTAACTCACTTACCCTCTCTGTGCCTTAGTTTCCCTATTATGGGAATGAGGGGAACACTAGCATTTAGCTCAGAGAGTGGTTGTGTGGCTTAAGAGGTTAATGTGAATATTAAAGTAACTGCCTAGGAAGGTACCTGGTCCACAGTGTGCTTCATGTGAAAAAATCAAACCAAACCAGCTCCTGTTGAGTCAATTCCGACTCATGAGCTGCAGGTGCTCCAGCAGAGAACTCTGCTCCATCGGCTTTTCAAAAGCATGTCGCCAGGCCTTTCTTCTGGGGTACTTCTGGGTGGATTTGAACTGCCAACTTTTTGGTTAGCAGCCCAGCACTTAACCACTTGCACTACCCAGGAACTCCTAAGTCCTATATAAACTGTCCACCATTTTATCATCAAGATACTGATGAAGGTCGAGTTGGGCCAACATTATACTTCTGAAGTGAAGTAGACCTTTACTTCCATGAGTCTTCTCTGTATTCATTCCAGAAGGCCTTAGGGGCACCCTCAGGACTCAGCCTGGGCTCAGACCATGAGCATGAAGAAACATGACTGATTTCTAAATCTGAGTCCTGGTGTGGCACTGCAGGATAAACACTGGACTGCAAACCCAAGACTGGTAGTTCTAACCCATCAGCCACTCCTTGGAAACCCTATACAAGATCGCTATGAGTCAGAACTGACTTAATAGCACTTAACAATAACAAGAAGGGGAAAGCAAAGAGCTGGGTGGTTTGTGGGCTTCACACAGGGTTGTTAACCACAAAGACAGCAGTTTGAATCGACAAGCTGCTCTGCGGGTGAAAGATGAGGCTTTCTGCTGCCATAAAGATCTATAGCCTCAGAAAGATCATAGCCTAGGTTGCTATGATTGGAACCGACCCAACGGCACTTAACAATGACAAGATAAAGCGTGGCATAGTAAGATGCATGTTGGGCCACTAACCATAAAGTCAGAAGTGTGAATCCACCAGCCACTATGTAGGAAAAACATGAGGCTTCCTGTTCTGGTAAAAATTTACAGTCTCGGAGACCATATCTACATAAGGTTACTATGATCGGAATTGACTTGATGGCACTTAACAAAAGCAAGATACATGGATCCCTGACCTCTCTGACAAGATCCTTTAAAGTATCTTCTGATTTGCTCATCCTAAAGTGAGACCTTATTAGGAATCTTTCGAAGACTGGGCACCTCAACCCTCCCTTGCTTTTTAAGACATGCTGTCCACACTTGGAAAGAATATTTTCACTCACCCAACAAAGAGAAGGTCTTCTGAGTCTCAACCATGTCGGCTCTGTCGTTCACACCCTCAATGATAGGATTGCCTCCCATCCGCGTATAATTAAATTCATCCGCACTCCCTGAAATGAAGACGGTTCACTATGTCTGTCACACAGAGTTTGACTTGTATGTGCGTCAGAAGCAAGGAAAGACGCTAACAATTAATGCACTATATTAAGCGTTTTGCAAACATTTACTGCATTTCTTTCTCAGAATTCTAAGTTGAAGGCACAGAAGTGAAAGCTCTGTGAAGTGACCTGTTCAAGGTCCCACAGCAAATGGTACAGAAAGAGCTTAAACAAGGCCTGATTCCTAAGCTTATTGTTTTTTCATACACTTAAAAATATATATGCATGTAATGCTGAAATATAGCTAACAAAGCATGTACGCGTACAATTCAGTGTGTTAATTACATTCCCCATACTGCACACCCATCAGCCCATCCACTCCCAAATGTCTTCATCACTTAATAGAAACTCAGTACCCCTTAAGCAATACCTTCCCACTTTCCCTCTCTCACACCTAAATGCTTTCTACAGATTTACTTAGGTATACTGAATGTGTGCTAAACATATTTAAAATATAGAACTTAGCATGTGATTATCTTGCCTTTGCCTTCACTTAAGTTAATATGTGTGTATTCTCTAGCTGAAGTCCTAGTGGGGTGCTGTAGGATAAGTATACAGCAAACCATAGGGTCATAGGGTCAGCAGTTCAAAGCCATCTGCCGCTCCTTGGAAACCCTATGCAGGGTCGTTATGAGTTGGAACCAGCTCCAGGGCACTGAATGAACAACTAGACACTCGGTGCCATGGAGTCAATTCTGACTCAGAGTAATCCTACATAGGGTCTCTGAGACTGCAAGTCCTTTTTGGGGCAGACAGCCTCATCTCTCTCCTACAGAGCCACTGGTGGGTTTGAACTGCTGATCTTGTGGTTAGAAATCTAGTGCTTATCCCACAGAACCACCAGGGCTCCTTATCCACTAGTTAGTAAGGCAATATATAAGAAAAAGAAGGTCAGCAAAAAATGAAAATAAAATGCACAACTTGATGAGTTCTGACTCTTATAAGACTATCTGCACAATCAAGAAAATGGACATGTGCACACCTAATATTTAAACAGCAGATGATCCTTCAAAAAGCTCTTTCACACTCATACCACATCCTGTTTGGCAAACAAGGCATGGAGTAGTCTCTTATTTGAAACCTGAGGAAGCTCAGATTCAAAGAACGCAAGAAATTTCTCCAACACTCTAGAAAGTGTACGTTCAACTCCTTCACACTGCCCGAACAATTCTCTTTAACACAGAACAAATGTCCAAGACTGAAGAGCTGGGACAAGAGTATCCTTTTGCGTCTAGGACAAACAGTTCTACATCTTACTGTCCCTAACGCATAATTAATTGTTATTAAAATAATTATGACTCTGAGTCATCAAGGAAGTTCAAATTATGATATACTGTTTTAAAAGATAAGGAAGATGAAGTTTGAAAACATTATGCTGAGCGAAGTAAGTCAGGCGCAAAAGGACACATACTTGTATGTTCCAGGATGGGCTAATACATAGACACCAACGTATATTAGTCATTACCAGGGACGGGTAGAGGTAGGAAATGGAGTATTGAGTATTAAGGGGTACTGAGTTTCTGTAAAAGGGGATGAATAGTTTTGGAAACAGCAATGATGATTGCACAGCATGATGAATGTAATTAACGTCACTTAATTGTAGTCATAAAATGGTTGAAATGGCAACTGTTTTTGTTATACGCAATTCACAATTTAAAAAAATATGGAAGCATGCCATACATGTTAGAGAAACTTCCATCCAACGTAACTCAAATAATAGAGCACAGTTTGGGGGCTTCCAGCAGAAAGTTTCAGTTGTCAGAAGGCTTGTTCAGGCAGGTCCCTCTGCATGACCCTAATCCCAGTGAGCTCTGAAAAGGAACCTGGTGCTGAAGAGGTCCCCACTCCCTAGACTTGCCCTATCCCCAAGTCCTAATCTATCTTCTTAGTTAGATATATCAATTCCACCCTCAAGCCCAGGGATCTTGTGTCTTTGGACAAAATACTTAGAGAAAAAGTTATTATAATAAAAGAAATAAATCTAGAATGTAAATTCACACAGAGAAGAGTCCCTTCCACCACCGTCCATCACATACCGAGTTTAAGGAGTTTAAATTCCGGCTGCTGCGCAGATGCACAAAGCTGATAGAAGATGTGATAATTGCGTTCATTTTCTGACTGTAAAATAAAGAAAAGTCCTGAAAATGACATCAACTCTTTACAAGTGACAATGCCAGGTCTCCAGCTACAGGGCCCTGGGTGCGGAATCAGGAGTGACAATGCTGGTCTCAAGGGCAGCGACATTTATCTGGTTTTTAACTGATGTTAATAAATCTGCGGTCAACCTATTCCTGTCTGCTGGGTGCAGCTGGCCAGGACTTCTGGTCACCTAATGAGAACTGGGTGGCCCAAGATACTCTTCCAAATAATGACCCCAGAGAAAATACCATTAAATGAAAATATTCTATTAAATTGATTCATTATTGTGTGCTATCAAGTCAATGCGGACTCACAGTGACCCTGTAATACACAGCAGACCTGTCCCAGAGGGTTTCCAAGGTTAAAATCTATACAAAAGCAGACTGCTACATCTTTCTTCCACAGAGCAGCTGGTGGGTTTGAACCACTAATCTTTTGGTTAGTAGCTGAACACTTAACAACAACAACAGTGATGCAGTGCTTAAGTGCCACTGAGTCGGTTCCGGCTGCCAGTGACCCTGCATAGGATTTGCAAGGAGTGGCTGGTGAATTTGAACCACTAACTTTGTGATTCAAACCAACCTCGTGCGTGGTTCAGTGCATTATCCTGAAGCTAACTGATTAATACTAATTGAAATGTTTAAGAAACTTTCTGCAATACAAGTCTTACTGTTGCTCTCATACTGGGTCAAAACAAAGAGAATGGGCTCCATTTTACGGACAGAAAAGCCTTTCTCTTAAACGCCACCTCACTAAATCTACTCCCATTCCCATCCTGACAGGAAAGCCAGTCTAACAGCTTCACTTATTTCAAACAGTGTCAGTGTTTGTTTTCTAGAAAGAGAAAAAACCAGTATCCGGGAAGCTGATTCTGACTCACATCGACACCACGTGTGTCAGAGTAGAACTACACTTCGTAGGGGTTTCAACGGATGGATTTATGGGAAGTCCATCACCAGACCACTCTTCCCAGGCATCTCTGCGGGGATCCAAACCAATCTTTTGGTTGCCAGTCATATGCATTAAACTATAAAAAAAATTTAAGTGTCCAAAAGAAGAAGCCAAAACTTCATCCTCCTAATCGTACAACTCCATTGATATTGCATCTACCCATCTTTTTTCTGTTTTGCTTTTTTAAAGAAACAAAAAAAAAAAAATGATTCAAACTGCAAATGAAAGATAGGAAAACTCTGGTCTTCAAGTCCCAGAAAAATGAAGGTTATCTGAAGAGTACCTACACCACTGCACACAGTACTTACAAAGTGAGGCGAAAGGAAACGTGATGAAAATTTGTATGCTTACTTGAAAGACAACTCTGGATTTCTCCAGCAGGTAAGTTCTCATATTAGCTCCTATAATTTGATTTCTCACATCAAAACTGATTTCTGTATATTTCCCAAACCGACTACTGTTGTCATTGCGGGTGGTCTTGGCGTTTCCCACAGCCTAGAAAAGAGACAATTCTCTTGAAATAACGATGTTAAAAAAAATGTTGAGGTCAGAATCATTGGAGGTGTTTTTAGTACTGTCTGATCGTATATGTTGGGAGGAGGTCTAATTAGTAAAGGGAGACTTGATCTTCGGAAGCTTGGGGCAAGGTGAGGCACAGCCCATGGCTTACAGGAAATGTGACACATTTTTAGGCTGATGTTCAAGGCTCTCCTGAGTCTCACTGGGAGACACAGAATGGGAGCTAAAAGACCACAGGATCTGCTGTTTCATGGTTCTGAATTCCCGCTTTGCTATATGTGGTTCTGAGTCTTAATTTCTCTAGCTAAATAGGGGACTCATATATATTCTAGAGAGTTGAGAAGATTCCATGAGATAATTAATATGAAGTGCTTCAGCTCCTCTATGCCCCAAATATTCTAGCATTTATTTCTATTCTTACCCCTACTCAAACCTTCCGTTCAAACAAAAACCTCCGCCCTCCCCTCCCTCCTGTCCTCTGAGTATGATTCTTCATTTCTATGTTGGTTCTTAAATGCCATCTCGCCTTCCCCAACAACCATGCTCTCCTTGCTCCCTATCCCGAGCATCCTTACACACACTTCCTGTTTGAGACATCATGTTCTCTGTCATTATCTATTTACTGAGCACCTACATGAGTCAGCAACTGTGGTAGGTGCCAGGCAGGCAAAGGTGAACCATAGCTTATCATTGACTCAGTCTATCAGAAATGTCTGCAGCTAAAGAAACATTTATATCATATCCTGTATGATATAATGTCCTGGTATGGCACTGTGGGTTAATGTGCTGGAGTGCAACCACAAGGTCAGTGGTTCAAGTTCACTAGGCACTCCTCGGAAACCCTATACAGGGTCGCTATGGGTCAGAACCAACTCGATGGCACTAACAACAACAATGATATAAATGTAAACAAATTTCAGACAGTCCAGCATTAAGAAGGCCTAGAAGCAGTGACCTCCTTCAAATCCCACTGGAGAACAAGCTTTCTGGACCTCATCTCTTTGATCTTTAAAGGGTGGGGACTTGAGTTAGCAAAGGAAGTATAACACACACACACCATCCCACCACAAGCCCAGATCTTCATCACAAGTACAGCACTGCCTCTGACCCTGCTCCCCACTCAACTCCCACAGGGGTACTAACCTCAGTTATGGGATTAGATGCCAGAACCTTGTCTTCCACGTGAGTGTTACTGCTCAACTTGCTGACAGTGGCAAAGTACCTCATGGTATAGCGTGCGGAAACCGTCTTCCCAGCACCCGACTCCCCACTTACAATTATTGACTGATTTTTATTGTTCCTAAAACAAATAAATGATGGAACTTTTTAAAATGTTCATTTCTTTCCATTCAAAAGGCAATACATGCCCACTAAGAAAACTGCAGGCAAGCGGAGAGATGGAAAGCTTGGTTTCATCACTCTGCAGTAACCATTTTTAACATTTCGGTGAACTTCCTTCTAGTCTTTTTTCTGTGACCACGCTGAACACACAATTCTGTTTCCTGCTATTTCCCATGCTGAGAATCCTTACAACCAACCACATTTCCCCACTTGATGATTCACTAGGAAGACTCATGTTGTTGTTGTTAAGTGCCTTTGAGTTGGTTCTGACTCATAGTGACCCTATATAGGGTTTGCAAGGAGTAGCTAGTGAACTTTAACTGCCGACCTTGTGGTTCAAACTGGCTTTGCAGTCCAGTGCGTTAACACAAGCGCCACACCAAGGCTCCAGGAAGACTCATAGGACTAGCTATATAGTCATACCCATGGCTAGAAGGACTCAGAGCAAAATTAGCAAAGGGGAAAGGTGCAAGTGGCAAAATCCAGAGGAAACCAGACACAGCTCTTCAGAGTCCTCTCCGGAAGAGGGGCTGTGGGCGGACGACTTGGGGGGTAGGCATGCGGGGTGTACCCTTTGGTTGGCGGATGATGCATGGAGGGGATTGTAACCATGGCAAGGAAACGATATACAATGGGATCAATGTGAAGCTGATGTCCTCCCATGTAAACCATCACATAAAGCATTGAAAAAAAAAGAGTCCTCTCCCTGTGGAATCACTAGGAGGTGCTTCATTCCTCCAGCAACATGTGAAATGTGTCTACTGCAGGAGCTCATTAGAGATGTACTGTCCAAAATTCCAGACTCCCAGCAGGAAAGCAGGTGTTCAGCATACTCCTCATTGTTTACAGCAAGGGTGGGGAACCTTTTTCCTGCCAGAATTTGTAACATCATTCATGGCCATACAAAATTATCAAGTTAAAAATTAGCCTGCTAAATTTGGTCCAACATTGAATTAACTCACCCCTAATGTGTGAGCTCTGGTAGCGTAGTGGTTATGACTCGGGCTGTGAACCGCAAGGTTAGCAGTTTGAAACTACCAGCTGCTCTGTGGGAGAAAGATGAGGCTTTCGGCTCCCGTAAAGATTTACAGCCTCAGAAACCCTGTTCAGGGTCGCTATGGGTTGGCACCAACTCGACAGCACTTAACAACAACAACAATGTGTCAGTGGTTCCAGCTCACCAGCTGCTCCTCGGAAACCCTATACCGGGTCGCTATGGGTTGGAACCAACTCGACAGCACTTAACACCACCAACAACATTAATGTGACGGCAGAATCCTACTGTGGCGCTGTACAATAAGCACTCAACCACAAGGTCGGTTTCAACTGTGAGGTCGGCTGTTCAGACTCACCAGCCACTCCTTGGAAACCCTCTACAATGTTGCTATGAGTCGGACCTGACTGGACAGTACTTAACAACAACAATGTGATGGCTGGAACTGAAGGTGTCTTGGCAGGACCAGACCAAATGATTTCACAGGCCTCATACAGCCCCCACCCCTGGTTCACACCAATAATCTAGGCACAGTGAGCCTGTCTCATCAGTGAGAGTGCTGGCAACCCTTCTGAAGTCCAGGTTCCCAGAGACATTCTGCAGATAATAAAGTGCTTTCACCACTTAGCCTCGTTAGGTATCACCTGAACTTCACGAAAGTTCTCTGAAGCACAAGGGGGGCCTCAAAAAGTTCATGGAAAAATTCCATTATCTCCTAATTCCATTCTTCCGTGAACTTTTAAAAGTCCCCTTGTATTATTAACGTGCCTAGCTTTCAAATGACAAGATTGGAGTGTGGAGCCTGGTACAGTTACCCAGTCTGTGAATTGAGGAATAAGACTTGAAATCGGGTCTCCTAAAGCTGACCCTGAGGTCTTCCTCTACTGCAGGACAAACACCCAACAAACACACCTGGCCTCTGATTTCCAGTTGTTGTTACTATGTCCACTCTGACTCATGGCAACCCCATGTGATTTCCAAGAAGACCCAGTGAAAGGGCATTCGTGTGCACTGAATGATGGTGATTATGGTAGCTGTTGTTGTTGAGTGCCGTGGAGTTGGTTCCGACCCATAGCGACCCTGTAACAAGGCTTCTGAGGAGAGGCTGGTGGGTTTGAAACAAAAACCTTGAGATCAGTAGTCCAGTACTTATCCTAAAGTGCCACACCAGAACTCCATCACTGAGTTTCCGAGGAGCGACTGGTAGCAGTCCAGTGCTTACATAAGGTAGTTGTTGTTGTTAAGTGTCTTCAAGTCAGTTTCGACTCAGTAACCCTGTATACAATTTCCAAGGCGCAGCTGGTGAGTTTAAACCGTCGACCTTAAAGTCCAGTGCTTTATTCTACAGTGCCACACACATATGGTAGCAGACATATGTGAAGTGCCAGATGTGATTCTAAGAACTGTGAATGTGCTCATTGACTTAATCTTTTTCCTATAGCCCCACAGACTAGGTACAGTTGCTGTCCCGCTATTTAGATGAGAAAGTGGAGGGCACAGGGATGAAACAACTTGTCCAGATGGTGCAGAATCCAAACTGCAGAAATTTGGTTCCAGAGTCAATGCTCTGCTATGCTGCTGTTTGGCACAGAAGCCACTGATTTCCACCTGGTGGCCGAGGACCGGGGCGGAGAGGGAGTTCAAGAGGGTTTGTGGGGCGGGTGGGGTGGGAAGAGGTGAAGGGATCTTTTAAATTCATCACTGACCATGCCAAAGATGCCCACAGATAAAGTTTCAAGTTGGGCTGTTAACTGTTTAGAAAAAGAAAAAACAATGAAATGGAAGGATGTGGAAAACTAGACTAACCACTTGGAGACAGAAACAAGAGACATAGTCCTATACTTTCACGCCAGAGCCCATCAAGCATCCACGTCCCATCAAGCATCCACGTCACTGTGCCCAGGGCAGATCCACATTTCCAGGTCTTCCCACATAAGCCAGATGCTCTAGTGTTAACTATGATTCATTGTGTTCAGAGCAGAACTGTGCTCTATGGGTTTTTCCACCCCCCAACTCCCCAAAGGGTTTTCAATGACTGAATTTTCTTTCTTCTGAGGTCCTCTGGATAGACTTGAACTCTAAGCTTTTGGTTAACAGCTAAGCACAACAACCATGTAAACCACTCAAGGACTACCATCAGGGGTGCCTACTCAATAAAACACTCCCTCCTGCCTGACGATCTTTCACCGAGCCCAAATCAAGCATCCCTGCTCCACAGTAAAGGCAGGGGACAATGGGAGTGAAAAGGAAGCCCAGCCTCTCTCTCTCAGGTCACCTGGCCATCTGCTTGTATGCCTCTTCAGCTACAGCAAATATGTGCGGGTCCATATCTCCCATGTTCTGCCCACTGTAGGCGTGGATGATGGCATCTCCATATATAGGCAACTGCTTGTAAGGGTTCATGGCCACCAAGATGATCCCTGAGGAAAGACGTTAGATGCAGTTATGGGATTCTGTTAGCTGTCTTTCAGGCTCCTCCAGGAAACCCCTGATCCAGGAAACATCTACGGTGACTGTGGTCAAGCTGTTTCGTGCTCTGGCCCTCCCTTCCCTTTGGTACCACCAACATCACCAGGTTATTTGAAGGTTGCCTGAGATGCAGTGTGGCAATGCCCCCAGATAGATAGGCTTTTGTAATGCACCATGAAATGATAATAGTATCATTGTCCAAATTAAGAAATTAAATATATCCTATCCAATGAGAAACTCAACACTTAACACATCTCTTTTTTCATAGTCTAGTATTAGTTCTTCTTGAAGGTTCTCCTACTTACATAGTCCGTGTATTAACATAACAATGACCCTCAAATGTCTGTATCTTTTAGGTAGAAATCTGAGCAAATATTCAGGGTGTGATTACACATTTTGGCATGAGCCTGCAGTTTGAATGCAAACGTAATTCTTAGGTGACTCTAGACAACAAACAGTGTTTCAGCATCATTACTTGCTGCTGCAGAGGGAGGGCAGCCTCCTTACCACTGTAGGTGTAAATGAGTTTGGACTCTGCAAAGCGGATCCTGAGGTTGTGGAGCACTGCGGGCTCATGAAGATAGCTAAGTGCCGTGAGGTCATTCTCGCCCACGAGGATGTCCGGATTCCGAAGTGGCAGCAGAGACTCCGGATTGACAGGATACTCCAGCTCCTGTGGATGAAGATGAAATTGAAGTTCTGGGAATAAAAGACTTTTGGTGTTTCTGCTGAATCACTGTCCTGTGTTCTGTCCACCTCCCATCAGAGGCAACTGCAGACACTCTGAAAAACCACTTTAAGGAGAGTAATGAGAGAGTCTTCATAGCGGACTCTTAGGGTAGTGACCAGAGTGTTGGCTGTGTGACCTGGGGTAAGTCACTCACCCTCCCTGGACCTTGCTTCTGTCATCTGTAAAAGAAGGGCTGGACTAGATAGGGGGCACTAAGAGCTTCAGTGAGGGGTGACAGGGAAGACACAGGGGAGGGGTCTGGGCGACCTATCCCTGATTCTACTACAAGGGCGCCACTTGCTGTAGTTTAGACATTGGCTTCTGGGGCATTTTCATTAGGAAAACAGGATTCAGCTGCTAAAATGACAATGCGTTAAGGTCCGGCATGGTTCTAAGACTGCTGAAACTCAACTGTTGAAATCTGAAAGTTGGCAGTGAGAAGTGTTTGAAGGGACCAGTGTGGGCACCGGACTCCTGTCTGAGCAACACCCACACATCCAGGGCTCACAGCATCCCCTGCAGAGCCATCGATTCCTGTCATCCTCAGACCTGGGCTCAACAACTTTCCCTAGCTGGCCTCCCTTGGACCATATTCAACTTATAATTCCAAATGTAAGGGTCTAAGTAGAATAAGGCGTCCTGGTGTGGCGCTGTGGGCTAATGCGTCAGACTGCAAAGTCGCTTAACTCTAAGGTCGGTGGTTCAAGCTCACCAGATGCTCTTTGGAAACCCTATACAGGGTCGCTATGAGTCAGAATCGACTTGACAGCACTTAACAACAACAAGAAGTAGAATAAAGGCAAGGACTACCGTATCTCCTTCTTCCTAGTCAACACCAGAGGCGACTAGGCTCACAAAGTATCAGAATATCAGGGGACCTTATTATTTACTACCTGCTCTAGCTTCCTAAGGAACTCTGGTAGCGTAGTGGTTATGAATCGGGCTGTGAACCGCGAGGTCAGCAGTTCAAAACTACCAGCTATTCTGTGGGAGAAAGATGAGGCTTTCTGCTCCCGTAAAGATTTACGGCCTCGGAAACCCTGTGTAGGGTCGCTATGGGTCAGAACCGACTCCATGGCACATAACAACAACAGCTAGCTTCCTAGAAGAGAAGCCCAGAGAAGTAAAGTGCCCAGGGCAAGATCACACAGCAAGAACTGTTTTGTTCTACCTGTCTAAGCTGGCATGGTGTCAGTCAGTACTGCTGGCTTCCACAAAGTGGTCCAGCTGCCAAGGTGTAGACCCCTGCCAAGCACTCAACACTGACTGCTTTATTCACCCCTCAGACACACTGAGTTTGTTGTCCAGGGTCATACAGTTAGTACACATCTGGCTGGCTCTGAGGCCTGTTCTCTTTAGAGGACAGCACACAGCCTCGTGCCCACACTGACAGGGTGCCTTCTTCTGTTTTGCATTAGGAGAGCAGCTCAGAGCAATCCAGGGCTCTTGGAAGTTCATCCTCCCAGCAGACACCTGCTTGATGGTCACCAGAGTGCTCTATCTGTGAGCCTGTCCTCAAGCCCTAGAATAATCCTAATCGATGTACTTTGATTTTGAGAATAAAATCAAGAAAAGGGCTTCTTATATATGATTTAAAAAAAAAAAAACAAAAAACTTTCCTTGTCTTTTTTTATTTTGCTGTCTATTTTGAATTAGCAACTTAAGAATCAGGCTGCTAACCTCAGGGTCAGCAGTTTGAAACTACCAGCTGTTCCACAGGAGAAAGATGAGGCTTTCTGCTTCCATAAAGACTTACAGCCTCAGAAACCCTGTACACAATCGTTATGAGTCGGCACCAACTCCACGGCACACAACAACACTACTACTTTAGTCATTGTGTGTGTGCACGTACGTGTGTGTGCGCATGAGAGAGAGGGTAAGTCTGTGTTTGGGGCAGAAGAAGAAAATGTGAACAACATCAGATTATTGACAGTTAAGAGTCAGAGGTGACATTTCCCTGCACAAAGCAGGCTTTGTTCTTCCTGATAGACAGATGAAGGGTTAAGTGAAAGAACCGTCTGGCTGCCTGCCATCTTACCTGCCTCTCTTCTCCCTCCCTGGGCAGCAGGTTCAGGGCCAGGAATGCAGTTACCTGATCCCACTGCAGCTGCTGTCTTGAGATTTTTCTCCCCAGACAAAGCTGTCTGAACCTTTGACTGGGCCTAGGAAGTACTCAGTAAACACTGTAAGGAGTTACTGATGGGAAACAAAACAAACCAAAAACGCAAACGAGCAGTCATCGAGTCAATTCATGGCAAGCCCATGTGTCAGAGTAGAACTGTGTTCCACAGGGTTTTCAACGGTCAAGTTTTTAAAAGCAGATCACCAGGACTTTATTCCAAGGTACCTCAAGGTAGTTCCATGGAAAAGGAAGGCTAAATGGAAACATTACTTTCTCTCATTTACACACTGATGATCTCACTTGATCTTCAGCAACCCTGTGCTGTAGGCATTGTTAGTGATACCAGTTTTCATCTGAGGAAACCAAAGTTTAGAAAAGTTAAGTCAGGGGTCACTGTCACAGACTAGCATCGGACTCCAGACAGTCCAATTCTAGAGGATGTGCCCTTAACCTCTGTACTTGTCTCCCTTTGGCAGACCACAGGAAATGTTCCCCAAATCCAGGATAGTCTGACTGAAAATACTGTGCCCTGTTCTCCACAGAGAATATTTACACGCCCTGGAAATCCCAGCGTTTTCATATGCACACGATATTCCCCTGACCACCTCTAACAACAGATGGAATGTGGAGCCTCTGCTCAAATCTTTGACCCTTGACTCTAAAACACACAGGACCACCAGAACAAGAATGCAGATGTCATTACAGCTATAAAGGAGCTGGGTCACTGTCTTAAGGACTCACAGTGGATGCTCAGAGCAAATGCAAAATATTAAGATGCTAGATAAAAGTCACAGGCAGCCTTTGAGTACCTCCCGGGCACATCTGTTCATGGGAACATCACCCAACAGCACTGACAGAGGCTCCTCAGAGTGACATATTCTGTCACTGTCCTTGTCGTCCTGTCTTCCTGTCATGCTCTTTCCAGAGTCCCCCTCCCTTCCATGTGTCTAGAAACTAACTTCCCCTCCCTTCATCTCTCTTCTCCTACAATCAATCTTCTCTCTCTTACACGTGTCTTCCCAACTGGAGGCTTTTCTCTGTCAATCAATGCCCTGGGCTTTAACTACCTTCCTCCAAGTTTCTCATCTTCACCCAGTCTCTCTGCAGAAACCCAAATCCATGGCTGCCAAGCCAATTCCAGTTCATAGTGAGCCCCCAGGACGGAGAGGAACTCTCCCACAGGGTTTCCAAGGCTGAAAATTTTTGTACAAGTCATCGTCGTGTCGTGAAGTGCTGTCAAATCAGTTCCAACCCCTAGCAACCTTGTATAGGGTTTCTGAGGAGCAGCTGGTGAGCCTGAACTGCCGATCTTGCAGTTCAAATGGCTTTGCAGTCTGGCGCATTAGCCCACAGCGCTTTACAGAAGTAGACCGCCATATAGTTAGTTCTCCAGTAGAGTGGCTGATGGATTTGAAGTGCTTAACAACTGTGCCACCAGAGCTCTTTTGCTGAGACCCAGGAAACCAAATTGGCTGACCTCTACTCAGTATTCTCCAAACAAGGCCCTGAATGTGGCTCAGGGGCACAGGGCTGCTCCTATGTCTGTCGCCTCAGCACAGAGACAGGTCTGGGTGCCTTAGGGCACTCAGTGGGGGCTGGGGAAGGAAGGGAATGTTACAGGGGGATTCATAGTACCAGGTGGCAATGGGCAGGATGTGGGGGGCTCTACCCTAGGTCTTCCCAAAGGGACCATCTGCCCCCACACCCAACCTGAAACTGGAGAACCAAACTAACTGCCATAGAGTCAGTTCTGACTCAAGGCAACCCACAATGTGTCAGAGTAGAACCGCTCCATAGGATTGTCAATGGTTGGTTTTTCTGGACTAAATCACCAGGTCTTTATTCCATGACACTGCTGGGTAGATTTGAACTGCCAACTTTTCTGTTAACAGTTAAGTGCTTAGCCATCTACAACACCCTGGGACTCCTCTTCACTAGACCCCAAATACTCCTTCATTCATCACAGCAGGGGCCCTTACCGTTCCATCCTCCAGCCGGAGTTGCAGGACTCTGTTGCCAACTTTGTAGTCCTTGACTATTTCAGCAGATTTCCAAACTTCTTCAGGATCAGGAATCCAAACCCTATTGTACTGACCAACAGAGTAAGACAGACTCAATTTCAGCATTTGAAGGACAAAACCGCAGATTGTTAGGTGATCAGACACCGTGCAGTAAATCAAGTCCTTCATTAGGATACTTTGACCAAACTTTGGTTTACAAACGGCTCCAGTGCATCTGCCATGCACCAAGCCTAGTTTCACTACAATATTTCATAGGCAACAATCTCCCAGAGGGTCCAACGCTGAGAGTATGGGGTGTGGAAGGGACCTGTAAGTCCTTTACCAGTGAAGTTCTGAGCAATATCTGAATGAAACAGGGCAATTTGGCTCACCACTGACTGAATATGGGACCTGGGCTAGACATTTAACTTCTTTGTCTCTCTTTTGCCCTATCATCTATAAAGTGGATACAATATTTATGCCACAAGTTTTATGGGTAAAATGCTACGGAAGTATTCCACCACTCATCTGTCAGTTTGTCATACTGTGGTGGCTTGTGTGTTGTTGTGATTAGGAAGAAGGAGAAACAGACTACTTCCAAATATTTCAGCACTAAAAACCTTATGAATAA